TGCGATTTGTATGCCATCAAATTCTCAGGTATTAGAGCACTTTGATCTATGAGGGCCGTGAACTTGCGGATTTGTCAAAAAAGAAGGCCGTGGAAGCCGTGCAGAGAACTGCGAGCTCGTATATATGAAATGTGGATGAAATTAGGCCCTAAAATGGCGCTATTTTGCAATGAAACCTAGGCATCTGTTTTCAAAATGGCGATGGGCTTCAAGCATGCTTTTAGGGGTGATGATCATTGGATGGAATTTTCTCCTAAAAATCATTAGATAACCCATAAAAATTGAACGGAAAATGAAAGATGATGAAAAAAAGCTTTAATTTGATGTGTGTCTCAAAGAGTTGTAACTATTTTGAATAATTTGGGGAAGTTCGCGTAATTATCTCTGAGGTCCATGGAAATATATTTACTGGTCTGCTCCCTTATCTGCTTTCATGATTGTATGAGATAATTATGTCTCGCATAACAACAAAAGGAATAAAAATGTCTGGTAAAATTCGTGTAGCATTAACTTTAACTATTTACAAAGGAACTGCATTTGAACTGAGAGCCGGTAATTTTAGGTGCTTTGGGCAATTTAGTTTTATATTTTCCTATTAACTTTTACTCCTTGAAGGATATATGACATAAAAATTGTACTATTGTAAACTTTTATAAACTCGTTCAGAAGTAGAGTTTTTAACGATTGCACACAAGCCTAAATTTAATCACCACTAAAAAAAAATACAATACGATCATGCAAAAGACAGTGATAAATGGGAAAAAAAGTCTTACAACATTTGGTTTGATCTTGAATTTAAAAGTTTATTCTGCGATTTTTGTAAATAGTGCCGACAATGATAATATTTGAAACTGAGTGAGTGCTTAGTGAATGAGGTTCTTAGATATATTGGAATTGTAACGGTTTACATCTGAGCAGCTCGACATTTTAAGACATGACAATACTGTTAAGGATATAGATTGGTCAAAACTATCAAGGGTGTGGTTATATACTTCCCTTTATTTATAATTTACTGGGAATGTTTCATTACAACTCAAGGTTCCTAAAACCGAGATATATATCTAGCAATGTTAATGTGCGGACCAAGGTTCGCTGAAAGGCAAGAGTTAAATGTTAAATACTGCACACCGAGAAACGCGGCCATATTTGCGTATACGTAGCGCTCATGGGCGTCGCGAGGGGGGGGGGGGCAAGGGGGGGGGGCACTTGCCCCCCCCCCCCCCTGGAAAAGCAAAAAAAAAAAAAAAAGGAAGAAAAAAAGGAAAAAAAAAAAGAAAAAGAGGCGCGAAGACAAAGTGGTGTAAATTTAATGAGTTGGGGGGGGCAAAATGTCTCTGCCCCCCTCTAAAACTGATAAATCGAGAATGTGTTGAGAAATACAAGCATTTTTTTGGCAAAAAAATGTTTTGCCCCCCTCTAGAAAAAATCCTGGCGACGCCCATGGTAGCGCTTGTATCAAATTTTCTCCAAGAGTATTTGGTGTACAAACATCCAACTTAATCGTAATTTAACTAGTGTTTTCGCCTCTTTTGGGGGTGATCCAGGGTCAACTCCTGTCTTGAAAACCATGGGGTTTGATTTGCAGTCCGTGAGTGCGGGGCTTCCTCAATGTGAATCTTTTGTTCCCCAACACATAAGAACCAACATTTCCCTTTGTAGGATTTAAAGACTATTATGTATTTTATGAAATTAACCAAATGAAAAATGTGTTTTAACAATTAAATAAAACGAAAACTATATATCAATATGTATTTCCCTTTAATGATGAGGACCGTTCAATTAGATTTGTAAAATTAGAACTTCACCCTTGCAGTTGCCCCTAATAATTATGAGCCATCTATACGCTGTAAAAAAGTTGGGCAAAATGGGTTGATAATTCGACCAGTGCTGGTCGAATTATCAACTGCCTACACTCTTGGGAAATTATATTCTTTTATTCGTTTACATACCAGAATATGTTCATAGCCTAGCTAGTCTCTAACGATTTAAGTACCCAAATGTAAAAGTGGGGGGTGGGGGTGGATTTTGAAACAATAGCAATTAGCTTTAAGATTAGGAGTGTTAAATGCATTCTGTCTGAGTGAAAGTTAATCAAGACTTATTGTGTAAATTGAAATTTGTTCAGACTTTGTATGTTTCTAAAAATGCCATTCCCTTCTTAAAGGGAAGATACAACATTTGCAAACATCACAAAACGAAATGATCAAATTATCACGAAATACCATTACCACTAAACTCATGGCTCCTGGTGTGCTGACATTTTCAAGAAAAAATGACATTATTCGCTGGTCGGCCTGGTCGGTCGACCAGAGTTGGAGAAAACTGACTGTTTTCAAAAACTGCTCCAAACTTTTCATAATTAGTTATTCCGCATTTTTTGCAATTGATTACACACCTGTGAAGGGGTACAAGTCTGCTAGACTGATTCTTTGACCTAATACAATTCCCCAAAGTCTATAAATTGCTTCGTTTCATCTTAAGTGGAGTCAGGGAACCAGACTACAAGAACATGATTGGTTTTCTTGGTTTTTCCAGCATCTACAAGCCCAAAACGTGAAAAAGGTCATTTAAACAATATTTGCTATAACATACTAATCCTCCAAATCGAGTTATTTCTGAACATTGCAGCAAAAGCAAATGTTGTACATTCTCTTTAATAGTGAATGCAATAGGAATATAGCATCACTCTAATAATTGCGATTTGCATGAAACAGATCAGATTTACGTATACTTTGTTTATATTATAACTGCATTATATGAGTGATAAAGTCAAGTATATCTATATCTACACAGTATATTATATTTTTAACGCCATAGTTCTTTGGCCATGCCTTTGTTTTGTAGACTTTGCTTTTGTTGGAGCTTTTAGATATGTGCGTTTAGCCGCATTTTACTCAGTCGTCAAAAAAATTATCTTAAAATTAGTTGTGTGTGTTTTAACGTGGCACTATATGGTCACTGCTTCAATCAAACTGACAATAATTGCGATGGAGACACGTTTCGTCAGATCATTTTTTCCCCACAATAATTGTATCAATTTGTATGAAATGATAATTCAGAGATTTTGGTGGTGTTATTCTTTTTAACTATGCCGGGCCTTTGTCAGGCATAATAGGCCAAAACATGCATCATAAGGAAGCTTGTTTTATGGGGTTTGGGGTTGCTGTTTTAATAACTTGTTTCGAAAAAGTCTTATTATAATTTCTGATCAATTGGTGTGGTTATGCTTCTGTATAATAATTGTGTGAGGGTATTAATGCATTGAGTTAAAAACAGATATGAAAGTTTAAAGATAAACGTTTGTAAGATTATTGGTCACCAGAAATAGAACCACTTGAAGAAACATCCGGAAAAAAAATGATTTGCTCTTTGTGTTTTCCTTTTCTGACTTTTGTTTTGTTTTGGTTATATTAATGTAATTTTGTGTATTGCCGCTTGTGCAGGGAATTTAAATCAGCTCATGAAGCATCCTTGTGGTATAAAATTACTGCTTTTGTAATCCAAGGCTGCCCAATAGACCGTTCTCTAAAAGGTAGACACCCCCCCAAAAAAAAATAAGCAGACCAGGGAAGCTAGGGGAGTTGGAGTTGTTGATACAAAGTAATTTTTTTGTTAAGTTAAACACAATAGGCCTATGATGTTATAAAGTTGGTATATGCGTGCTTTTTCAAAATTGCGATTTTCTTTTCCGAACGAAATTTAAAGGAATAAAGTATCCTGTAGCAAATGAATTTGCTTGTTCGTTTTTGCAGGTCTTTATACCGTTTTAAAAAGCAGTATTAAATGGCGCGCTCCAGTTAAATTGCGTACACTATGTAGAACGAATAAGAAGTCAATAGTCTTATTATTTATTAAAAGATGCCTGCCCTGTGCTCTTAAAAAAAAATTCTCGCAAAGAATTCTCAAGTTGTATTTCTTTTTTATTTCAACGAAAAAAACCCTATTTTTTCCCCCAATGGGTGTCTGCACATCTCTGAAAAGGGCCCTAACTTGCCCACATTTAATGAAACGACCCTGCGAGTTGCAGTATTATCGGGCAGCAAATAGTTCCAATTTTGTAAACACTTCAATAACTAAATGTCGGTGGATTTTATTTTTTGTCTCTCATTCGAAAGTGAAAAGGCCTAACTTTGTTATTGTCAGGACACGTGCAGTTGGAAAAACAAATTGGGATGAAACTCAAATGAGCCACAGTTCATTCCAATAAGTTGTGATTTAACTTGGGACAGGAGCAAATGTGATGGGGTACAGTGATTATTCACAAGCAACACGCTTACAGCACTGGTTATCTACAGGGTGTTTCAAAAAAAATGAAACCCAACTTCAAAGAATGAGTATGGACAGACGATATGTTTCCTGGCTTATAAAATGTATTTTGGCAAAACGTTCAATCTGCTTTTCAGACCAGGTAGCAGAAAACATAGGAAAGAAGAAATATTCATTTTACAAAAAGAACCACATTAATTCTGCTATTCTGATATTCTATTAGCAGAAAAGCAGACGACCACTTTTGAATCTTCAGGGGGGGCACGCGAAGGTGGTGGGTGGGGGGGGGGGAGGGGGGGGGGGGGGGGAGGGGGCGCTTGCCCCCGGCCTCCCCCCTTGGAAAGGGGCATTGGATCAATCCCACCACCACCAACCCCCTAACCCCCCCCCCCCCCTTCAGATTTTGGTGGTGAGAAAATATAAAAAGAAAAAAACAATTTTGATGTTATTTCGTAACTTCCCAATGAGGTCACGGCCATAAACCTGCAACGCAAACATGTCCAACCTCGTTTGAAATTAAACAGTTCACTGCATAACACCGAAGTATAGATGCACTGAGTACGAGGTTTGCAGACACAGCCATTGCCACATCAGGGAAATCCCCTGACCCGTCTGGTACCTGGACTCATGTTAGTACTAGACGAGTAGCAATGCAAGTTACGCACATACGTAATGGTATTTCCCCCCTTGTATGGCGCAATAAAAAAAAAACCCTTGGTGCCAAGGTTCAGTGCATGTATTAAGTGTCAGCACACACGTACAGTCAGACTTACACAGCGACCATGGGCGGTTGTGTCAGCAACGAAATGAGTCAAATTCCTGAGAAATTTTCTCGTCGGTGAGATTTTGTGCTGTTTTCCGAGAGGAGGTTTCGTTCAATTGGATATTTCAAACGGTTTACCTAGCAAAGTGGGCAGCCGAGGACCGTGCGTCACATCAAGGTAGGTTAAGGTTGTAAAATCGGTGGTGCGAAAAAGAAAAATCGGAAGACCGTTGCTCACTAATCTAGCCAGACTGCATTAGCCTGAAACATTTTTTTGGAAGTCTCTCTCTAAATAGATGCTAGTATACGCTGTGTCGTGATAGAAGAGCTGGGTTTGGTCCACATAGTTGGGGCCGCGACGGTGCAGATGCAGGTGCCGGTTTTATATGGGGGCATGCAATGATGCAGTAAGGGACCGATGGGGATCGATTGACGATTATATTTTCAATGGGGAGCGCCAATAAAATCATAAAATCATTCACACTATATTTACTAATGCGCCCTTGTCACGACTTTTTCTTTAGCGGAGACCGTTCGCATGTACATCACAATCCTTCTTTTTGCTTATGCAATTTTTTTTTACGGAATTTATTTTTGGGGGGGGGGGGGCTAGACAAAATTTGCTACAGCCCCCCCCCCCCTAGCCCCCCCCCCCTCATTTGTGGACATTCCCCAATCAGTCTGATCTTTTTATTGCACAAGTTTCCTCTGCACGGACCTGCAACCCTGAGGATCAAGCCTTTAGTCACTAGTCAAGGCGCGCGTGTGATTCTACCCGGACACGTAATGCACAAGATTCTGGCACGAAAAAAGACCAGTGTAGTGGCTTCGCCGCATCCGGGGTGTGTCACGTGTCCGGATAAACGCGTGGGACTTGACCAAAGGCTATATAGCCTGGATCCTAAATTGTTGATCTCTTCGGTTAAAAAAAGGTTCATCTAAAAGCCTTTAGAATTATTTTGTTTGTCCTCTATTTTATTCTGAAGACTTTGATAACCTTCCCATCTTTTGTACTTTTCTTTATGGATTCCTATTTAGGCTAAATTAATGGTAAATTTGTGGAAATTATTTGACTAACGGGCAATTCCACGGATTTACAAACCTCAATGCCAAAAGCAAAATTCCTAATGCCACAAATGAAACATGTACCATATCATTTTGGAGCCTTTAATTTGTATTTTATTAAAATATTGTTTATTTCTAACAATGTTTAACAATTCAGCTAACGGAAAATAATATTAATAAAATACACGAAACTCAGTTTGAGTACGTCCGCCACCATGGTGGCTTCGAGCCGATTTCTAATACAGTAAAAAATAAACCAGAATAGTTGGATGAATAATTTCTTTTTAAGATATTTTGTAAGGTTTATCAGAATTAAAATTCACTTAATGATGATAACTGTTATTATGCATCCTGTTGAGTTGTCCAAAATGTATGGCCGACACTATATAACTGCCCTAACGCAGTTTGTCTTGATAGTACGGATTGGATGATGGAGCACTTTAAGGTCAAATTATTGAAAAACTGTTATGAAGGAATGAGCGTTCATGTTGAGGTGCTCAGTAAGTAAAATGCATGGGAGTATTTCACGGAAGGAATTTCTCACTCCGGCGTTGATCGTGACCTTGTTGGTCTTAAGGGCGAATCGGGGGGGGGGGGGCAACGGGGGCCATACCCCCCCCCTCCCCCCCAAAAAAAACGAGCCCATTTTTAGGTGTTGGGCCTTGAGCCAAACACCGTTTGGTTTTGTAAGAATTTACTGTTTTTGTTCTCAGCATATTTATCAGCAAATCCTCCAGAACTGTTTGGAAAAATGGAAACATATATGAACTTCATTTGTCAATACATGAATGCCTAATCCACCACAGATGTGGTTTTTTTGCAATTACGTCATCATGACGTCATCATGGGTCACGTGACGTCACTTGAAAGTTTAATAAATTTAATCTTTGAAATTCCATATAAAATCAACCGTGAGAGACTGGAACCTGAAATTTGCGGGAATCGACATGGTTATACATGATCTTCATTTTATCCTGTGCGCGTAAAATCATGTGGCCCTTCCTTCCGGTCGAAACCGGAAGTGCCTAATAATTTAAAAGTGGAAAAAGATATGAACTTGCTTTTAACGATTTAAGTGTCTGCCTGGATTGACCTTTCAAAAAAAATAATGGTGATGCCATGAAGTGTTGGAGCGCCCTCTAGCGGCAGGTTAAAAAACTCCAAAAACGCATTTTCACTTGATGTCTGTGGCGAAGTTTGCGGTAATCGCTTCAAAATTAATGTAAATGATGACCATAATGCAGACAATACCTGTGCGCGAAAAAAAATTGATTACGTCATCAGACCGGAAGTTACAATAAAAAGACCTTTAAAAACCTTTAAAAAAAATTGCTAGAAAATATACCGTGATAGATATAATCAAGATTTGGCTGTATACAACACAGAAATATAGCTCTTGAGGTTTCTGGTAATGACGTTACAATGACGTGATCAAGTGTCATATTACAAGCAATCAAAGATTTCTAGATTTAATCTTTGAAAATCAATATATAAAAATCAACTGCCACAGATTTGATTTGTTCTTAATGTAAATCGATACAATATTGCAGGGTCTTCATTTTTGGTAATAAGTGCAAAATCACGTGACCCTTCTTTCCGGTCGAAACTGGAAGTGCCTTATTATTTGAAATTGGCAGAAGATGCGAACTTGCTTTCAACGATGTGAGTGTCTGCCTATAGGCAGTACTGTACAAACATATTACAGGTGACGTCATTAAATGTTAGAGCGCCCTCTAGGGGCAGTTTTAAAAACGTCGAAAACGCAGTATCACTTGATGTATGTGGCGAAATTTGCGGTAATCGCTTCAAACTTAACATACATGAAGAACTTAATGCAGAAAAGACCTGTGCGCGAAAAAAATGAATGACGTCATCAGACCGGTAGTTATAAAGAAAAGACCTTTAAACCTTAAACAATTGCTAAAAAATCAACCGTGAGAGATATAATCAAGATGTGGCTATATATAGCAGAGTAAATATAGCTCTGGAGATTTCTGGCAATGACGTCACAATGACGTCATCAAGTGTCATATTACAAGCAAATAAATAGTTCCATATTTAATTTTTGAAAGTCAATATAATATCAACTGCTACAGATTTGATTTTGTTTTTATGGCAATCGATAAAATATTGCAGGGTCTTCATTTTTGGTTTTAAGTGCAAAATCACGTGACCCTTCCTTCCGGTCAAAACCGGAAGTGTCTTATTAATTGAAATTGGCAGAAGATGCGAACTTGCTTTCAACTATCCGAGTGTCTGTCTAGGCAGCACTGTACATCAGTTTTACAGGTGACGTCATCAAATGTTAGAGCGATGTGTGTGGCAAAGTTTGCGGTAATCCATGGCCCAACACCGTGTGGTTGTTCCTTCAACCTCTAGTTTTTATTTTGTTTTTTTTAAGCGACGTCGCAATAAAGGCAGGCGCTGCGAACACCACCATCTTTTCTTCCAAAAAAATGTTACATTTTGTCAGAAATTGTCTCAGATTGCACCATAGAGCATCTAAAATCCAACAATTTTTTGGGGCCCTTCACCGGTCCCGAACCCTTTGCCGTAATTTTTTTGTACCCAATTTTTTTGGGGGACCCATTGTTTTTTGTCCCCCTCCCAAAAAAGAAGTTGTGTTCTGGATCCGCCCTTTGTTTGCCTACCTTGATGGTATGCGGAAATAGTTCAGAAAGTTGTATTCTGGGTTCAGAATTCCGTAGTCACTATAAATTATTGACAAACATTCCGCAGTCTAAATAGCCCCGGGCCAGTATCACCAAATAATTTTCTGGATCAAAATAAGTTATTTTGATCCAGAAAATCAAATAATTTTTTTTAATAACACCTTTCTGTGTCAAAATTACACTGAGGCAATGTTTTTTGGGTCAAGTTGAACCGAAAAATGATCCAAAGAAGTGTCAGGTATGAGAAGTGTGATCCGAATTTCAGGTCAAATTGTACCCAGGACTTTCTACTAATCGTGCAGTCTTTATTCGTGGACTCCATTTTCTGGTCCAATTTTAATGGTCAATTTTTTTTAATTTTTTTTTTTCATTTTTCTTAAAAGAACACTTTATGGCGAGGTAGAATTCGGGCTTGTATATAATCACAAACTTTTCGTCTGCACTCGTTAGCCTGTCGTAATAACATCAATTATACAGTTTGATCGGCTTCTCTATAATGTGTCAGGTTGGTAGAAATTCCCGACTCCAAATTGAATCCCTACGACTCGTACTGGATTTGATAACATTACATCTAAATTCTAATGGTTTTTATTTTGTTTTACTATTGTAGAGTACACCATTTGCAGCTATCCAAAAAGTTACTGATAACATTATTGTTGAAAAGCTTACTTGTTTTAAAGGTAGTAATAGCACTAAACTCCCTGTGAAATGATTGTTTCTGACAAACTTTCATTTTGAAGAAAACAATAAAAGAAGGTCGTTTCCTAAGATGCGTCTAAAGATGCATTTTTGGAAATTTCTGTTTAGTAGTTTGTTTTCAATTTGGCAAAGCCATGAACGGGTGCCGTGTTGACGCGAGGCACACGCGCGTGCGGCGGTTGCTATAATTCGTCGCTTCGGTGCGTGACATGGCTGCAATCGGCTGAATGAGAATGACGTGTCCCATACGCTGATTTCGGGCGAAATTTAAAACATGACTCGGCAACTTTCGAATTGAAATCGAGATCCTAGAACATTGTTTTCTCGGAATATACAGCATTAACTGAGCCAAAACTTCATCAGGTTAGTTGTTAATTACCCTTCTTTAGATTTTGAGCACGTTTGTTGCTACAAACGAATAAAAAATGCACAAATGACAAATGATGTATCTACCTTTAAACACAGCTGATATGAATTTCTGCCGTAACGTAAAGGAAGCACATCGAGCCTCCACCCCCCCCCCCAAAATGACCTGAGTTAACCTGATGTTAAACATTAATTCCTATCCATTTTCAGAGTTGATCACCATGAGTGTTCACAATTATTACTGTACCCTTCAAACGAGCTCCGCTCAACCCACGCCCTTGTCCAAAGTTCAAGTATTTGTGTAGGTGTTTTCCAAACCTTCGCTCTTATTAGAACTCGGCTTCAGGTTTTTTTAAAGGCCTGGCATGGGGAATTCTTTTTTAATTGTGTACATTTTGTAATTCAGAAATATCAAATCCTGTAATACGAGACTTAAAGGGAATATAATACATCATTTGCTTTTGCTGTAATTTTCAGAAATGGATGGAATTGAGGGTTGGAAATATATAGCAAATATAGTTACACTGACTTTTTTGAGGTTTTGGGTTCGAAAATGCTATAAAAACCAAGAAAAACAATCATTTTCCTGTAGTCTGGTTCCATGACTCCATATAAGAAGAAACAGAGCAGTTTACATACATTGGGGAATTGTAAGGTCAGGGAACCAGTCTAGCTGGCTTGTACCCGTTCAAAGGTGTGTAATCGATTGCAAACAAGTGCGATGGTCAATTGGGGCCAGTATTAGAAAAAAGCGACTTTTTTTCCTACTCAATCTTGGTGACCAAAAACCAAACCCTCAAAGCGCCCTCTTTTCACAGCTTTAAAAAAAACATACCAATATCGATACATATTTAGATAATTTAGTTCATTAGCTTTTCAACAATTCAAACATTTTCAAAAATTCCAATTGGTTAAGTATTTTTTGAGTCATGGCAAATTCCAAATTAGTGCGGATATTTTAATCTGTCCACGCGTCTCATGCAATTATCATTTGTTAGGAATGTAATGAATTTGGGATGAGGATAGTTTTACTTTCTCTGATGTGTCAATCTTTCTTTCTCTATTTGATTCTTTTTTATTTATTTTTCATCTTTTTCCAACAATGTTCATTTATCCTTTTAGAACTAATAGTAGTCCTGACAAAGTCTGCCTGGTAACTTCTTAGATGTTTAACGTGCTGCTCTGTCTCTGCCCTCTACTCAGGCTTGGCAGCCTTCTTAGATGCAAATATCATTCGTGGTAGATGAAATGAAAAAGCAGCGATTGTAATTGGCCATAATCAATAAATATTTACCCAATTGGAAAGAGTTGTTCGTTGTTGCAAAGCTAATGGACTAGCATCTCTAAATATGTATAGATATTTGAAAAGAATTTTTTAAAAGCTGTAAAAAAAAAAAGAGAGCACTGAGGGTTCAGTTATGTTTGGGACACCTTGTATAGTGTAAATTGCGATGAAGGAAAAACAATTTGTGAATACTATGATCTGCATACATGCACTCGGCGAAAGTTTCTATTAACAAATTGCTATCGTCATTCATTATTGTCTTCTCCATCAGCACCATATAATCTCTCTTATTTCCCTTTATTTGTCCTTAACCACAGCTGTGATTGGTCAATACATAAAAAGGCTTTATAAATCGGTCTGTTTGTATCACACATTGTGAGGTCAGATTACATATCAAAAACCCATATTGTACTCTCACCATCGTCCTTTGATATCACGCACACATAAAATTGCCTAATTGCACAAATTGCCTTCTTTAATTTGACTGCAGATTCTGCAATGGATGCAAATCCATTCCGAGTCAGGGGGCATGGTGCCAACCAGGGAGGAGCAGCGGATGGGAGGCGTCGGCAGGAAAACGACCAACCAAGGGATCAAGGAAATCCAGGAAGATTTGGCAATCAGCGTGGCCAGGAGCGTGGTGGTGGGTATGGCTGGGGGCGTGGTCAAGGACGAGGACAAGGGCGTGGTCAAGGACGTGGTCACTTCAGGTCAGTGTGTCATCGAGAAAAATTAGATTTTGACTTTCATACTGTTAAACAGTCAGACTAACTTTTTTTCTGAACTTTATTTTGTTTTATAGAAATGTTGGTCCTAATCACCAAGATCACAGAGACCAAGAAGGTTTTCAAGATGGTCAAGGAGCAAGGCCCCGCACCCAAAGGGAACGCCCCATCAGGCAGCCTGGGTACAGAATGTTACAGTCTTTGCTGGATGAGGAGAAGTGCCCTGCTGAGGTAGTCCAAGAACTTACCTCCTTCGGGAAAGGTTTGGAGAGTCTGCTGCGTGAGCGTGAGATCAGGCGCGACATGATGGTGCTTCTCATTCAAGTCATGGACAGGGTCTGTGACTGCGAAGACTCCCCTCAGTCTGTGGTCCGGGTCTTGAATGCGATCGTCGACACAGACTTCCTCAGCAGGAATCTTAGTCAGCACATCAACAGCATGACGACCGAGTTTGACGACAGGTATTTGATGAAGGTCCCTGATCTGATTGGCTCAATCTTGAAGCTGATGCAGACGCTCATCCAGAAAGTCCAGAACACCATGAAGGATGTCCACGTTGTCCTCACGCTCATTGACTCTGTTGCTAGGACTTTAGAGACAAAGGGTTACCCACTGGAGAGTGAAACCAAGGTTCTATTGAGCCAGCTGCTTCTTTGCTGTCAGCAGAGAGAAAAAGAAAAGGCGCACAGAAGCCAGCGACAGAGAACGGACCAGGAAGCACCACCACCAAACGACTTCAGAGAAATTCCCATATTCCCGGATGTTGCTGAAATCACCACGAATGCTGACAATTACCTTAGACCCAATGTGGTGCATGGGAGGTATCGAGACCTCAACCATTACCTCGATGTCCAGTTCCGCCTTCTGAGACAAGATTTCTTGGAACCATTGAAACTTGGCATCGCAGAGTATCACGTGTCCCTTGCACAAACCAATATGAAGCGCAAATTGAGAGATATTCGCATCTACCATGATGTTGGGGTGCATTTTCCCATCTGCACCAATGAAGGGATCACACACCGCGTGAGCTTCGACATCTCCAAGCTCAGGAAGGTTAGATGGCAAGCAACAAAGCGACTCACTTTTGGATCCCTGGTTTGTTTGTCCAAGGACAACTTCCAGTCAGTTATATTTGCAACTGTTGCGAACCGAAAGCCAGAGGAGCTGGAGGAAGGATTAGTGGATTTGCGGTTTCAGGATATGGCACGCGTCTCAGAAATAGACTCCTCGGATTGTTTTATAATGGCAGAGTCGTCCGCTTACTTCGAGGCCTACCGTCATGTTTTGCAAGGCCTGCAGGAAGTCAATGACAACAGTCTACCCCTACAGCGTTACATCATCGAGGTCTCAAGTGATGTGAAGCCCCCTCAGTATCTTCGCCGTAATAGGTTTTCTACCTATGACCTGTCTTCGCTGACGCACACAGAGGAAGAAGGTGACAAGGATGATGAGGGTAAAGTTCTACGTGACCTTAGGAGGCTCAGCACAAAGGCCAGCGCAGTACAAGTCTTGACTCCATCTAGTTGGCCCCGAGCTGAAACTTTGCATCTAGACGAGTCGCAGCTTAAAGCCGTTCATGCTGCACTGACGCAAGAATTAGCCGTCATACAGGGACCACCAGGTACAGGCAAAACCTACATAGGTCTGAAGATTGTGCAAGCTCTCCTTCACAATAGAGAAGTGTGGAAAGAAGATGACGAACCAAACCCCATCTTGGTGGTTTGTTACACCAACCACGCCCTAGATCAATTCCTCGAGGGGATCATGAATTTCAATCAGAACATTGTTCGTGTCGGTGGCAGGAGCAACAGCGAGGATATGAAGGACAAAAACCTTAACTTTCTGAAGAGAGAACAGCGGCGTAAACGGGATGTTCAGCGCGCAGTTCATATCCGAACTAGCAACATCTTGAGAGAAATGTACTCCCTGCGTCAATGCATGGAGGTCTCCCAGAGGAAAGTCGAAAAAAGCATGAAGGGCATCATCAATGAGGACTTTCTGCAGCCATTCATGACAAAAGAACACTATGCAACCCTCACGGTAATCTTTCGTGAAACAGGCTATAACAGGCCGACATCTTACATACTTGAATGGTTGGGACTTTCAGGAACCTTTCGTGTAGCAACGGGCCAGGAAGTTGGTATCGCTGCATTCATGGGACAAGATGACGAGCCAGAAGAAGATGATCAGGAGGAAGATGAAGAGTTTGCTGTTGCTGAGGAGGCAGATGCGATAGCAGAGCAGCGTATTCTTGATGACAAGGAGGATGACATGTTTCTCTTTGATGAAGATCCTCAAGAAAACCACCTTGTCTTGGATATCGACAGTTTGGTTGCAGCACAGCCTGAACAAGAGGGATGGCAGATGCAATCACATCAAAAGAAGCGAATGAGAAAAATGCTCTTGCACAACCTTAGAAAATCTGAGAAAATGACAGAAAGAGACGCTGGGAGAGTGAAGAACGTTTGGGCAATTGGAGACATCAACAGTCGTTGGAAGCTGTACCGTTACTGGGTCAGCGAGTATAGCAAGAATGAACGGAGACGAATGGAGATCGTGCAAGAAAAGTACGAGGCCCTATCACAGGAACTGAAGGAGGTTCGTGTTGAGGAGGATCTTTCCATACTGCGTCGGGCTAGCGTGATCGGTATGACAACAACAGGTGCTGCGAAGCATCGCAATGTATTGCAACGTGTTGGTCCTAAAATTGTGGTTGTAGAGGAGGCAGCAGAGGTTCTTGAATCTCACATCGTCACCACATTGAGTGCCGAGTGCCAGCATCTTATACTCATTGGGGATCACCAGCAACTGAGACCAAACCCCACTGTCTACCGCTTAGCTAAAGACTTCGATCTTAACATCTCCCTCTTTGAGCGGATGATAAAAAATGGCGTGCCTTGTCAGTCTCTGGTCCAGCAACATCGCATGCGTCCAGAGATTTCAACAATCATGAGGAACCACTTCTATCCAGACTTGAAGAACCACGAGAGTGTCCGATCTTATCCGAAGATAGCCGGAATTAGTTCAGATGTATTCTTCCTCGATCACGATATTGAGGAGGAAGAGGTTGATGACTCTCGTAGCAAATCCAATACCCACGAGGCAGAGGTCCTGGTGGCACTGTGCAAGTATCTGATACAGCAAGGTCAGTACCAGCCCACACAGATCACAATCCTCACGACCTACGTGGGTCAACTCTTCAATTTTAAGCGTTGCATGCCCAGGTCTTTCTTCAACGGTGTTCGCGTATGTGCTGTCGACAATTTCCAAGGGGAGGAAAATGACATCATCCTGTTGTCTCTGGTCCGTAGTAATCAAGAAGGTAACATTGGGTTCTTGAAGGTGTCAAATCGGATGTGTGTGGCCCTGTCCAGGGCGCGACATGGTTTCTTTTGCATTGGGAATTTCCAAGGGTTGGCGCATGGAGATTCACTGTGGAAGAACATTGTACAAGAGATGCGCGGGAGAGGTTTGTTGGGGCGATATTTGAGTTTGGTTTGCCACAATCATCCCAAAACTATCACAAGGGTCAGCACGTCAAAAGATTTCCTCAATGTGCCCGAGGGCGGGTGCAGCTTGGCCTGTGCGTTCAGACTCGATTGTGGCCACAGCTGTGGCATGCTTTGCCATCCAACTGACTCTGAGCATAAAGAGTACAAGTGTCTGAAGAAGTGTGAGAAGGTCCTCCGTTGCGGGCACAGGTGTAAACTGCTCTGCTTTCAAAAATGCGACAGGTGCAAAGAAAAAGTTGACAAGACTCTGCCATGCCGGCATCAAAAGAAAATCCCATGCTACCAGAATCCAGACTCGGCCACATGTTTGGAGCAGTGCATGAAAAAGCTCCCCTGTGGTCACAGGTGCCGTCGAAAATGCGGGGAGGAGCCCTGTACTGAAATCTGTCTGGAAACAGCCTTTCGCAGTGACTGGCCTTGTGGACACGCTGTGCAGGTCAAGTGCAGTGACGGCCCAGAGAAATGTCCAAAGAAGTGTGGAGTTGAGTTGGAATGTTCTCATCAGTGTCAAGGTTCCTGTGGGGCTTGTAAGAGAGGCCGGCTGCATGTACAGTGCCAGCAGAAGTGCAACCGCACCTTAGTTTGTAGTCATCAGTGTACTGCATTGTGTACACGTGAGTGTCCTCCTTGCGCTGAGAAGTGTAAGAACCGTTGTGTCCACAGCAAGTGTCCGAATCGCTGTGGGGATCCATGTGCCCTCTGTCAAGAGCCTTGTGCATGGCGATGCCCTCACTACCGATGCAGTAAGAAATGCAGCGAAGCTTGTGACAGACCGCCGTGTAACAGACCTTGTCCGAGTAGGCTTGGGTGTGGTCATCCATGTATTGGCTTGTGTGGAGAACCTTGTCCTGACAAATGTCGTGTATGTCACAGAGATGAAGTGACAGAGATACTGTTTGGAGACGAAGATGAGCCAGATGCCCGGTTTGTCCAACTTGAAGACTGTGGTCACGTGTTTGAAGTAGGAAAATTTGATCAGTGGATGGAAATGAAAAATGAGGAGCAGAAGTCAATTCAGTTGAAGGCGTGCCCAAGATGCAACACACCAATCAGACGGAATCTTCGCTACGGTAACATAATCAATGAGACTTTGGCAGATATTGAGCTGGTGAAGGAGCGTATATTTGGTACCAAACGGGAAATTGCCGCGAAAAAGGTCCAAGTCCGAACCATGCTTTATTCGGTAGCGACGGATGTCGACTTAGACACTTTTGCCGATCGAATTAGCCGTCCAATGGGTCTAGCTGAATTAACAACCATCGAAAATCAGTTGCTACTCCTTAAGGACATGGCCAAAGCGAAGAAGAAGGCCACAGACGTTGCGCGAGATGTTCCCCAGTACATCAGAAAGATAGAGGTGCATAGGAAGAACCTCTTGGAATTAGAGAAGTGGTTGCTGAAACCTCGCATGTACCTCAGCACGCAAGAACTTGACGACTGCAGCCGTGAGGTACAGCGCCTCTCAATGTGCTTTAGTTTCTTCTTCATCAAGGCAAAGGTCCAGGCCGCGGCCAGTAACAGTAACAAAGCGAGCGTACAGATCGTTGAAGACCTGCTTCTCAGCGGTAAACCTCTTGAGGAGAACAGTGTGAAGACTGTCAAGACGTTGCTGGAGAAACTAAGAAGAGAGTGCACCGGGCTCGGAATATCAGAGACCGAGCGAGTCATGATTGTGAAAGCCATGGGGTTTTCAAAGGGTCACTGGTACAAGTGTCCTAATGGTCATTGTTATACCATTGGAGACTGTGGCGGGGCGACTGTGGAAAGTACCTGCCCCGAGTGCAAGGCGGCGATTGGAGGAACAGGTCACCGTCTTGTTAGTGGCAATGCCCTTGCCTCGGAGATGGACGGGGCTAGATATTCAGCATATTCTGAAGAGGCCTTCATGGAAAACTATGACCTCAGAGAATTCTAAAAAGCTTTAGAGGAGGTAAACCTACTTGACACTTTTTATGATAAATGAAAAAGAAATACATGAAAGACAATCAACTTTAAATTAGTAAATATCTTTTGAAATCGAAATATAAATGATTATTAAGCCATACATCTGTTTACACTCTTCGTCTGCATGGGGTGAGTTTGCAAGACTTTAATTATGACATTTCTTTGTTTGCTTGGAATTTTTTAAAATATATGTAATGTACTTTATTCGCATTCCGTAATAATGGCCTGGTGGTGACATAAAAAAATTCCAAAAAAATGTTCTATTGTTTCTCTGCTTGCCATCCACAGGGTGCACATGGCCCATTGGGGAGTTGGACAACAGAGAGAGGAAGAGACCATCATCAATTATTATAATGATTAATTATTATGGTAATAATGTGCATATTTCATCAACAAAGCTTAAAGCTTGGGAATTTGGTGTTAATTCGTTATTGAAATCTAAATATATGAACTTGAATTAGTCGTTCAAATCTGACTTCAATTCTGAAATCGGCGATTGCTGTTTTCCAATCACGACAGATAATGTTGTTACTGACATACGATTCGATTCCGATTCGTGAGTGTAAACTTTGTTGGAACTGAACATTAAGAGACCAAGGCCACTGGTGGGATTAAATAAACTTAGAAAAGCTATGCAAAGAACTAAGATAAATGGAATTATGATATAAAATTTCATGAAGTACATTTACTGGATTGTTTTGACAGACGGTTGATTTAATTCACTCTGCAATTTTAGAAAACAAAACAAACAAGTGAGTCGACATGGCTCAAGTGTAAACAAAAAAGTAATTTCAATTACAATACAATTTTAGTTTATTCTTTGTAAGTGTTAGTCGTAGTATGACAAAATTGTGTGGTAAAATGATATAAAACAAGGGGCTATAGGGTTTCGTGCGAGGATTGTTGACTGTATATCAACTGGACTAACTATGGGCGTCGCAAGGGGGGTGCTTGCCACACCCCCCCCCCCCCCAAAGGCAACCAAAAAAGGAGGAAAAAGAAAGAAAAAGAGGCGCGAAGTCATATTGCTGTTAATTAAATGGGTGAGGGGGGGGGCCAAACGTCCCTGCCCACCCTCGAAAATGATCAATCGAGAATGTGCTGGAAAAGTGCAGGGATTTTTTTTTGGGGGGGGGGGTGTGCTTTGCCCCCCTCTAGAAAAAAATCCTGGCGACGCCCATGGGACTTACTTAATTACATGCCTCACTAGTGATTGGGTGATAGTGACACTTTAAACTGAAAACCTCAGTGATAGCGATAACCTTTTCTTGTAAAAATGATGAATGAAGAAAGGTTTCTTGGTCGAAGCTGGTAAAATAGGTTTAAACGTCAAATTATTTGATTTTGAATCTTGTACATAGCGCTTTGCAATGCCAATATTTGTAATTTGGTGCATGATGATGTCTTATGCTCTTGGTGTATGTTCTTAGAATAACGGGAGATATACATGTAATTTTATAAATAAACCTTACAATTGGAATTAATATAGTATTGAATTACTGTATAGTAAGTACTGTGGTTAACTTGCTGTTTATCTATGTATAAGTATCAAGAATTTCTTAATGATTTTTTTTTCAATAAGGTTAGGCTACCTTAAATTGGAGATATAGGCAGCCGTGTATGAGCAGTGCGGGCAAAGGTCAGCTGAAAGGTAGTCAAATCCTGCAAACAGAGAAACTCGGCTAGAAAATGGTTGCGTATACAATTTTCTCCAAGAGGTCTACGGACTTTAGAACTTGAAGGAAGATGTAGCCAGACTAGTATCTAGCTCTCTATCAATGATACATAATTTTTTGGGAATCTTTTGGTACAAGAGACATCAAAGTCGAGATTAATTTACGAATTTGAGCACGTGGTCACTGTAGGCCAATACGAAGACCCCAGTTGATGGCGAAAGCATTGGGCTACGCATTGTGCAGAGATATTGTTCCGTGACAGTTTTGAACAATGGGGAGCACAATGCTCTCGCCATTGAAGGGGGCCTCCATGATAGAATTGACAGCGTGCCCGGATTGGTAGGCCAATTATTGGCAGCCATGTCATCAGCGCGGGCCGAGGTCCGCTGACAGTCAAATTGAAAATGTTGAACACAGAAAAATTATGTATTTCTAAGAAATTAACGTGGCTCAACAGAACGAATAATGTTTTTAACAATTAAATAAAAGGAAAATATACATCAATATGTCATTTCTTTTAAAGACGGACCGGTCATTAAGATTTTTAAAATTAATTACAAGATACTGTGTCCTCGCAATGACCCAAAATTATGAGAGCCGTGCATATCGTCTTTTAGTCGTTTAAATACCAAGTTAATAACTTAAGTTAAATATATTCAATAGAATGGTCTCCAACGAATTAAGCACCCGAGCGTAAAAGTGCGGGAAAATGGATTTTGAAGCGGTAGCAATTAGCTTAATGATTACAAGTGTTAAATGCATTATGTCTTAATAGTGAAAGGTAATCAAGTGTATAAATTGACATTTTGCTCAGAAGTACACTATGTGTATGTTTCTAAAAACGCAATTCCCTTCTCAATAGTGAAGTAAATTGGAATATAGCATTACTCTAATAATTGCAATTGGCATGAGAACAGATAAGATTTACGTACTTTGTTTATTTAACTGCACAACAATGTTACAGATAAAGTCTATAAGTGTGTCTATATCTACTCATTCTATTAATAACGCCATAGTTCTTTGGTCGTGCCCTTTTGGTAGACTTTGATTTTGTTGGATCTAGTACATAATGTGCATTTAGCCGCATTTTACTCAGTCGTCGAAAAAAACTCTTAAAATTAGTTGTATGTGTTTTAAAATGGCACTGTGTGGTAACTTCTCAAACCAAACTGACAATAATTACGATGAAGACATTTTTCGTCAGATCATTGTTTTCATAGTAATTGTATGTATTTGCATGCATTGATAACAATTGAGAGATTTTGGTGGTGGTATTTTACTATGCCGGGCGTTTGTCAGGCATAATAAGGCAAGAAATTGGCATAGGCAAGACATATTCATAATATAAAAGTTTGTTTTATGAATTTTTTTATATTTTTTTTTAAAACCTTTATCGAAAAAGGCTTCTTATAATTTCTGGTCAATTTGTGCGGTTATGCCTCTGTACAGGCTGGATAAAAACCCGAAACCGAAATATTATTGCTAATTGGAAAAGAAGTAGGGCTTATGTGAATCAACGGGAGATATCCTCTGTTAGGAGAGATATCCTCCAATGACACCCTGATCATGTCATTACATTCACGGTTGACTGAGCAGTGACCAATTTTATAAAAGGGTCTAGGCTATTCAGAGAATTGCGCCACTTTTCAAATGTGGTTTTTGTGGCGTCATGTGTCACATTTGTCAGAGAGAAAGGCTATGGTTGCCAATCAAGGCAGGTGGGGGGAAAAAGAGAATTCACCATGAAAAGTGGCGCAATTTTCTAAATAGACCCTTTCATAAAATTGGTCACTGCTCAGTCAACCGTGAATGTAAGGACATGATCATTTTAAAGAGGAGATTCAACCCTAACAGAGGATGGCTTCCTTTGATTCACATTTTTGTGCCCTACTTCTGTTCCAATTAGCAATAATATCTCGGTTTCGTGGTTTTTTTTTATCCACCCTGCACATTTATGAAATTTTAATTGTGCTTTTGAGATGAACGTTTGTATAAGAGTGTAGAGTGCTGTGGCCTCGTGGTTAAGGGCACTGGATTTGTGGTCTGCGGGTAAAGCTGGGTGTTGTGGGTTCGAGTCCAGCCGGGATCATGGTGCATGTGCCCTTGAGCAAGGCACTTTGTCACTCATTGCTTCTCTCCACCCAGGAGTAAATGGGTACCTGTGAGGGCAGAGATGGTTATTTGATTGAATTAGCTTGCTTGCGCCTAACAGGCAGCATCGAGCTGTATACTCTCCAGGGAGCTGAGATGGTATTTGGAATGTTTAATTGGCCCAATGATCAGGGGTAATAATAATAATACTGTAAGCGTTGTGATAGTTTACTAATAAGAGCGTTCTTAAATGCTGATTATTATTATTATTATTATTTTGAGATTAACGTTTGTATAAGATCATTGGTCACCAGAAATAGAACCACTTGAAGAAACATCCGAAAAAAATTATTTGCTCTTTGTGCTTTCCTTTTCTGACTTTTGTTTTGGTTGTATTTATTCATGTAATTTTGTGTTTTGCCATTGTGCAGGAGATTTAAATCAATCATTCATTGGCGGATCCAGCGGGGGGCGCAGGGGGCGCACGCCCCCCCCCCCCCCGGCAAATATTTTAAAATGCATACTATCGGTGAAAAATGGACAGTGATCCGACGGTTTGAGGAAGAACAATCGTTCAAAAGGCGTGGCAATTTTCACGCACCTTCTAAGACTTGATGCGCGGGTTACGATCGGGCCGCACGATACGCGGATAAAACCAATGTAAAACAAACTGTAGTGGAGTCTCATTTCGCGTATCGTTTTAGCGTGTCATTTATACGACCATGAGACTGCACGTGGACAACTGCTGCGCTTATGAAGTCAAACCGTGTTCATGCTCCGGGCTTGGTGACTAAACAAAATCAAACAATGGCCTCTGTATTTAAAATGTATTAAAACTGTATTAAAATGTATCGCAGGTCCTGGACCCTTCATTACAATCCTAGCCCCCCCCCCCCCCCCCCCGGCAAATGGCAGTCTGGATCCGCCCCTGATCATTGATAATTTTTGTCGTCACCAAATTACAAAATCCCACAGTAGCAAAGTGGAAAAGCACATGTAGTGTGACCCGCCAGTGCAGAGTAAAAAAAAACCTGGAGCAGAAAAGCAGAAATGTAAACAAAATATATATTTTGGCAAAACGTTCAATCTGCTTTTCAGGTAGCAGAAAAGTAGAAAAATGCATTGCACACAAACAAATTTAACGCTGTTTTTCAGATTTTCCGTTAGCAGAAAAGCAGATGACCACTTTTGAATGTTCATAAGCATGGGCGTCGCTGGGAGGGGGGGGGGGCAGGGGCGCTTGCCCCCTCTCCCCCCGGAAAGGGGGCATTTGATCAATCCCACCACCACCTCCCCCCCCCCCCACCTTAATTTTTGTGGTGAGAAACTATAAAATGAAAACAACTTGCCCTGTTGATTGTCTACGGACAAGGCAACTGGCTTGTCTGCCTTCCAAAGTGTTTCAAGTTTATACTTTGTGTGTCCATGCAGAATCTTGTTTAATAATGTTCAGTTTCTTGTATAAATATCTGCGAGTTAATGATCAAAAATAGTCTTTCATTCCAAAAAATTAACACAAATGTTACATACGTTAGGAAGATAGTAAATTTTAAGCTAAGATGTGTCTAATGTACCGATCTGCAGAATATTATCATGTCTGAAAAATCGTTAAAAAGATGGACTTTTTCTTTGAAATTAAATCTCAACTAAACACATAAATGGTTTTTATCAAGAATTGAGCGGTAAAGGTTAAATTTTTGTGATCCTTTGTTCTGACAAAATTATTCATAACTTAACTGGGCTTTGTCTAAAGAAATAGTTGTCGACCCGACCACTCTGCGTTTGTAACTCAACCAACGCCTAGACCTGTAGTTCTAAGTTGGATCATGAATAGAACCCTCTGGTGATGTTGCGTTGTAAAATAATAATTAAACAGCGCCGACATTTTTGTCCGTCCAAACTGGTGTATTGCTAGAAAAATAGCAATTTAGAAAAGGAATCAATTTTTTTCGGCATGAAATCTTAAATAACGTGGGAAATGATTCTTGGATATGACTTTTTTTTAAAATAAACCAGTGGCGTAACCGTAGGGTTAAACTTGGGAGGGGGCACCTTGGGGTACTTGAATTTCAAATTTTTTTTTGGTGGGTGGCTCTAAAGTCAAATATATTTCTGTTAAACAGAGAGGGGGAACGGGGGACGGACACGGTGGGGGGGGGGGGGGGTAGGAGGGGGCACATGTCCCCTTCCGGAATGCCCCGCAGGCGCGGTTGTAGAGCCAATATTTTTTTTGGGGGGGGGGGGGGCTAACAGGATGGATCCAGATTTTTTTTCAGGGCGGCGTGCTGAAATGTAGACCGGTTATTTTCTCAAGACACTTAGGCCTCCAAAAATCAATAGAAGAGGGCAAGGGGCTCATGCCATATTTTCAGTGGGGAGCGCTGGTAGAATCCCACAATCAGGCACACTATATTAACTAAAAGTGAACAAATGCACTCTATCTTCTCACGACTATTTATTTAGGGGTAGACCGTTCGCATGTACGTCACATTCTTACATTTTGCTATTGAATTTTTTTTTAATGAAATTTTTTAGGGGGGGGGGGGGGCTAGACAAAATTTGAGGGGGGGGGGGGGGGGGCTAAAGTCACCAGGTCCCCCGGTAGAACCGCCACTGATGCCCCGTAGTTTAGTTATGCCACTGTTTTAATATACCCCCTTCCCCCTCCCCCAACAAAATAACTAATTTTGCTCTCATGGGGGCGCCACACACGCATCACTGTGCACTTCAGAATCTAAAATGGCGGCCCCCTTGGAAGGAATTTTGCACAAACTGCTTGTGCCAAATAGCTCCGTAATTCAAGAGGTGAGTATCAATGGCAGGAAAAAACATAAGAGCTGTGAAACATTTTTCTTTTAGAATATTCTTGGGAAAGACTGTTGCATCCTGGGCACAATTGCAGAATACCCCGCCAGTCGCCACTCGATCTACTGTATCCACCTCGCGACCGTAGTCGTCATTGTCGTACATTAATAACATGTCGTAGCCGGCTACGAGGTCACGGTTGGTTGACCTTAATAAATATTCTCAGCTTGTATGAACTATGCGTCATGCTCCATTGCACTCCCACTTCGTAACCACGTAGCCGCCAACAGGGTAGTTGGTTTGGACTTAAAAAAATTACAGCAACTCCCATTCCTTTTGTGTTGCTTCGTTCTCAAGCATATTCAAGGGGACTCCCACTCTGTATCCGCGTAGCCGCCAACAGGGTGGTTGGTTTGGACTTTTTCAGCAACTCCCATTCCTTTTGTGTTGCTTCTTTCTCAAATAATGGACCCCCACTCAGTATCCGCGAAGCTGGCATGCACTTGAATTGTTTCTTTTCCAGTGATTCCAACCTCGTAGCCAGAGAATTTAGGGGTGTATTTCCGAGTGGTGGGGTATTCTGCAATTGGTAATCCTTATCTTTAGGACACCTCTATTTTTACGAGTTCTGTTCAAAACTGACTTTTGCATGTGACTGTCCAGTACCGAGGTGACTTTTGCAGGCTAAAGCAGTCTTTTTTCCTCAGATAAACTCATGTTAGTTGTCATTTTGAAGAGTCACTTTGGCACTGGACAGTCATCTGCAAAAGTCAGTTTTGAACAGAACTCGTAAAAAATAGCATGAATGGAGGTGTCCTAAAAGTAAGGATTACCCTGCAATTACTCCACATCCTGACTCCACTTGTTATTAATAATTGGTCAGTCACTAGCACTAGCAGCACTGCCTGGTCCGGCTCTGTAGACTCTAGTCCGAGTAACCGGACCCAAATTCCGAGCAACACGATTCTGTCACTGGCCAAAAAAAACAACATTTTCCAACAAAAACATCAGAGTTCACCCTCAAAACGGCCTCCAAATTACTAGATATGCCACCTGAGGTACAAGAACGTGGAAGACATCGATGATTAAGATGGGAGTTGCTTGTACTGAAGTTTACTTACAATCCGGATGGAAAGTGAAATTTCCCGTTCAATTCCAAGAGCTCCCCTCGCGATCGTGAACATGTTAAATTTCCGACTCGTGTTAACGTTTTTACGATGCGATGTGGTCTTCAAGCCCAGCGCTCATTCGATGGTCCCCGTATCCCGAGTGCGATTCCGTTACCGAGCGCGCACAATGCATCGATCATGATAATGAGTAGACTGGATCACGTTTGTAAACACAAGTGCATTTCGAACGATAGTTGGGAGTCGGGAACTACGTCAGCTTTTATGAGCGGAAACCCGTTCAAGCTAGTTCCCGACTGCCTTTTATCATTCGAAATGCACTTGTGTTTACAAATGTGATCCAGCCTACTCATTATCATAATCGATGCATCGCGTGCGCTCGGTAACGGAATCACACTCGGGATATGGGGACCATCGAATGAACGCTGGGCATGAAGACCACATCGGGTTGTTCAAACATTAACACGAGTCGGAAATTTAACGTGTTCACAATCGCAAGGTGAGCTCTCGGAATTGAACGGGAAATTTCACTTTTCATCCGGATCGTAAGTAAACTTCAGTACAACTATTTTAATCATCGATGTCTACTTGTACCTCAGGTGGCGTATCTAGTAATTTGGAGACCATTTTGAGGGTGAAATCTGATGTTTTTGTTGGAAAATGTTGGTTTTTGGGCCAGTGACAGAATTGTGTTGCTCGGCATACATGTATAACCATTAGCTTGGACCCTACTATCGCCAGACCATGTCCGAATGTTAAAAAGCCGATAAGTTGGGTCCAAGTTACTCGGACTAGCAGCACTGAAAGTGCAAAACTCCTGTTGAAAACTCAGAAAAGATTTGGGAAAGAATGTTGCAACCTGACGTCACTTGTTGTGCACAAAGTCTATGGAGAGTCAAAGACAATTTTCTAAGTATTTAGAAAATGTTTCTCAGTCCCAAATTCATGTCTTATTATTTTTGCAACAATGACTGACCTTCATTGAGGTGATAAATGAACATGGCGATCGTGAAGTGTAGGGCCCCTGTTTTGTTTTGATCAAATTAGAGTCAAAAATGTTTTTCATTGCTCAAAAATCACCTTTACAATAAAAAGCAGACTTTTCTCAATTCTAATTACACCTGTGTTGCAATTTTGAAAAGATTCTTGGGGTAGAAATCACAATTTTCCTGCATGGTTTGTGCCTTGCAATTCAGCACGCCGTGCTTGCGGTACATCACGCGGTGATTGCCATCTTTATTTTCGGGTCGCGTGTTGTCGCCGTGCTTTCATCATCATTTGGGCTCAAATTTCCCTCAAAAAAAGAAACCCTGCCCTTTATCTATGACATACTATTGAGAATGTCGCCAACTACAAATGTAGTTTGGTAGGCCCAATCATTTTAAATGGGATTTTGTTCCCTTATACTGGAACCGGACCCTACACTACATGATCGCCATGAACATGATGAACAAAAAGAATAGTCAGGTTGCAGAATTCTTTCCAAAATTTGAATCTTGGACTGAGAAACATTTTCAATTTTGTTAGAAAATACTTTGAAACTGCACTCAACTCTCCATAGACTTTGTACCCAACAAAAGAAGTGGTGTCTAGATACTACTACGGTTGTACAGTCTTTCTTGTAACTTAACAATAACAACATACTTATGTCTAGCCCCATAAATGTGGCCAATTTACTGGACTACCTCCGTAAATAAAGGCCACACTACCACCATGTACAAAAACATGTCGAACTTTGTCAAATTTTGATTTTTGTAGTTTATTTTTGCTTTAGAAGCATACTCACCCCTCTTTATAGGCTTTATCAGAAAGTGCTGCCTTTTTCAGATGTCTAATTTTCGTGCAATTTCATGTTGAAATTTTGATACGCAAACGTGTGCAAACAAATCTGGAAATTTCACGAAAAATAGACATCTGAAAAAGGCAGCACTTTCTGATCAGCCTATATAGAGGATGAGTTAGTCCGAAAATTTGGGACTGTCAATACTGTGTATGAGAGTCCCAAAACTTAAGGTATTGAAAACATGCAAAACAAGAAAATAGACTGGCACCAAAACAACCAGTCCAACACGGCTTCAGTACTGCATCAATCAGCCATGCCAAAAGAATTTTAGAAACATGTGGCATGAAGCGGGAACTAGTCTCGATTTTCTACGCATTTCTCCATAGTAAAGCCACCAGACTATTGACACTGAATGAAGAGGTCAGTCTTTCCAAATAGTTGGACCATGGTTGGACATGTACCAGTCTAGTCTTTAGCCCCATTTTGGAATCACTTGACTTCCCTCTCATGTGCAAAATGTTGAAGAAAAGTCTCCTTTAAAAATTGAATTCGGTCTGCAAACTTGGTTGGTGAAATACTGAGGACATTTTCTTTGCCTCAGTGGAATTTTTTGAGGAATTTGCTGGCTAAACTGTGAGTAAATTGGGCCTGATTTAATAGTTTTGCACGTTTCAGAGCACTCCAGAGCCCTGTCTGAGGGTGAGTATGCTTCTAAAGCAAAAATAAACTACAAACTAAGCCTAAATGTGAAAATCAAAATTTGACAAAGTTCTACATGTTTTTGTACATGTTCCAAGTTTGGCCTTTATTTACGGAGGTAGTCAAGTAAATTGGCCCCATTTATGGAGCTAGCTTATGTCCTATTCTTGTTTGAAATGTAGAAGCTATTTAAACATATTAAAATAGGAAAAATGTTGAAGTTTCATTTCTAAAGTAATTCCTTGAACATGTCAAGTAAGGCCCAAAAAAAAAGTCTCTGGTTTCTGGTATGGAGCTTGCCCAAAAAATGGTGCGGCGACGCGGCTTTTTTTTTTTTTACCTGATTTTTTTGCTTCAAATGTCGGCTGATGGCTGCAAATGGTGCCCGACTAAACTTAGTGCAAATATATGGGAGTCCAGAGAGGCCACATAAAGCTTATTCTCGACCATAACCCAATCCAAAAACACATTAAAATTGTGCAGCAGCAGGATTCCAGTCAAACCAGTGAGTTTGGCGGTTTTGAGACATCATCTTTCATTGAAAAAAAAGCGTTTTCTTTTGCCGACGCGCATGGCTACGGCGACGCGCGCGCATACCAGAAACCGGAGACTTTTTTTTTTTGGCCTAAGCCCACTGACAATTCTAATCGCACTGTGTGAGATCTGCTTGCCAACAATGGCCGAAGAGATAAACAAAGTATGGGCGACATGGTAACCAAAACCGCATTCTGTAATTATTCATCTTATGAAAAGGAGATGGAAACTTTCGTTGGCACCAAAGTTGAAGCGTACAAAACATCTTAAACCATGGTACCGTAAAAAAAAAATCAAAATTTTGCATATTCTTCAATAATTTTCAAAACAAGAACTTTTCTTTGATTTTATTGGTCCCTTGCTATGATTTTGCAAAATAAATCAACTGCACATGTGCACTTGTGGGATAGCAGGGTACCAATGAAATCAAGGAAAATGTCTTGTTTTGAGCATAAGATGTCCAGTATTTGAACCACATTGATGGGACTAGGATCATCTCAACTACAGTTGGGTAATATTATTAATTTCCCCCCGTAGGGTACTCGAGAATTGAAGCAAGCTCTGAAGGATCCTAACATTGTCCCTGGACTCTTTGCAGTGCTGACCAGCTCCAACAACCCCCAGGTAAAAGCACCGAATTTGAAGATTCCACCGTTTTACAGATATGCCACTTTTCAGGTTTTAATCTGAATTCCGGGGTTTTTTCTTCAAAAAATGTGACAAATTAAAAGTGCTGGATTTGGTCTGAAACATCCAGAAAACACATTTTTGAAAGGGGGTAAGGGCAGTTTCAGGCTTTTTGGTAGTGTTTCAGGCTTTTTATTGAAATATTTATGGCATCTCAGGTTTTAAGAAACTAACATGTCAGTTTGAATTTTTACCATATTTGAATGTACGTACACTGCACTTTGCGATCCAAAATGTCCATATCATCCGATAAGCATGTCAAAGTATGAGTAAGTTTTCGTGCTAATTAAGGCCCCTTCAGATATCAAGAATTGAAGATTCATTGTGACGTTCGCCGTTACCCTAGCAAATTTGCTTTGCCCTGAATCTTGTGTGAGGTATTAACCGGACTAAAGAGAGGCCATTATTGCAGTGCATGATGGGAAAAAAGTTAAAACATTGCTCAACAGTTTCCATTTTGCCTGAGGCAGCACTAGCAGTATGTACTCATTTTCCCACAAATTAAGTTAAACATTTTTGTGTGAATAATGATGGTTACTACATACGAGACTTCTAAATCCGTTCGTGTTTGTGTTGAACTGGAACTATAAACGATGAAAGAAAGCAGGATAATATATGCAGGAAATCGACTGTGAAGTTGAGGCCAACACTTGCTGGTGTCCTGCTATTTGAATCGTTCCTACTGGTGTTGATAAATTATCTGTGTTTGAACTCCACAGATACGGCAGCTTTCCGCTGTGCTTCTTCGGCGTCGAGTTGTTAAGCAATGGACCAAATTACCTCCGGATGTCGGCCACAAGTAGGTTCTTTTCAAAAAAAGGGGGGAGGGGGAATTTAGAGATGAAGGAAAATTAATAATAAAAACACGCTGTAGCAAGCGTTAAAAAGGCTCAAATTGCCAGTAAAATTCAACCAGACGACAAGGCCATTATCTTAAAAAGTGTTATCAGACTAGAAGTGATTTTGAAAGACTTCTGATAAACTGAGAAATAAACACATTATTTATAGTTTGATACAAAAATGTTTAGTTGAAGTGATTACAGCCATGTTATGGACAAGAACATTTTTCTTTAAACTTGCCATTAATGATGAACATTTTATGCTGTTTTCCTTTGCAGTCTGAAGCAGATATCATTGCAAGTCCTTCTTAGAGAAACAGAGTAAGTACATTGTACACGGAGGTCTTCCAGAACTCCAGACAAAATTTGTCTGTTGAGACCAAATGTAGAGAACTGTATTCCTGAGTGTTTTTCCCTTTTAAAATGTATTTGTTCGCATGTAATTATAGCAACATGTAAATTGAAGTCGGTAAGCTGGCTTTTAAAATGGTCTTTTGAGATCAAATTGCATGTAATTATTACTTCTATGTGGAAAGCTGTCGCCTTGGATTCGTGGTCTGTGGGTAAAGCTGCAGGTTGTGGGTTCAAGTCCAGCCTGGGGTCAAGGTGTGTGTGCCCGTGGGCAAGGCACTTTGGCACTCATTGCTTCTCTCCACCCAGGAGTAAATGGGTGCTTGTCAAGGCAGAGATGGTTTGTGATTGATTACAGCTTCCTTGCGCCTAGCAGGCAGCATCGTGCTGTATACTCCCCAGGGAGCTGAGATGGTGTTAGGAATTTTTCATGGGCCCAATGAGCAGGGGTAATAATGTAGCGCCTTGAGCACCAGTCCTGGTTGATACGTGCGCTTTATAGATACCCACTATTATTATTATTATTATTCTATGGTGATTATATCAACAGTAAGAGTGTCTGCAATGCCGTAGCACAGCTGGTGGGGGCCATTGCCAAACATGAGCTGACATCTAGAAACGGCTGGCCGGACTTGATGCAGTTCCTGCAGCAGCAGAGCCGTAGCCCTGAATCCCAACACAAAGAGGTGAGACACTGTCGTGCTGTGAATTTTTTGATAACTTACATGTAGTATTCGATTAGTCCAACTTGGATTTGATCGAATGCGCGAGTATCCGAAATGCGCTGATCAAGTTTTACATGCGTTAGCCTAAACTGGCCCCCAAACAGGATTTATGTGGGCCTTGTTTTTTGGAAAAATTAACAAAGAGCTCACTAAAATCATGTAAAGAACATCATGTCTGTATCGACATTATTTGTTTGAGGTAGCGGAGTGCCTGATATTTTACAGATTTTAAAGAAGAAATTTGTGACAATATTTCTCACAGAAGTTCTCAAATCATGTATGTAAAGTGGCTTGACAAAGGTGTGACATTCGACCAACAGTTAACCAGGCAACTTGTAAGGTGAAAATGGCATCGTGGATTTTTTTTCCCCCCGTGATATCCTAGAGTAGGGATGTAGTCAATTCCATCACAAGTCCACCACAAGTATAGTCACAAGTACATCACAGGTCCAGTCTCAAGTAACAGTTGATGAACATTGAACAATAACAAAGGAATGCCTTTGTCAAAGCTCATCTGAATAGCTTGTGAGTTGAATTGGGACTGGAGGACTTGTGAAGGACTTGCAGGGACTTGTGATGGACTCGACTACACGTACATCCTTGTCTTCGAGACCGTTCACACTTTTCACATTTGAGTAGAGATAATTAAATTGGCGGTCAGCTAATGAATTCTGTACCGCAATGTTATTGGAAGGTTCTTGGTCTGCCCATTCCATAAATTCAAAAAGTCTTTAAAAATTACACTCTGATTTCTGATGCCAATTCATAAATTGGTTGAAGTGCTCTAAAAATACAATTACTCAGTACTCAATAATACAATTACTGAATTTGTACTATTAAAGGGAATATACAACATTTGCAAACATCGAAAAATAAAACTACCCAGTTTTTACGAAATACCTAAATAGGATGTTGGTAAATGACAGTCTAAAGCATCCTGTAAAATTATGGCACCTGGTGTGAAGTCATTTTCAAGAAAATGGTATTTTTGTAAAAGTTTCCAGCGGTGGTCGGCCAACCACCGTTGGAAAAACCTAACTATTTTTCAACTACTGCTCCAAATTTACCATTAATTCAGTCCAAATTTTGTTTGCTAGTGGTTACATGTTCATAAACGGGTGCAGGCCAGCTAGACTGGTACCCTTACCTTACAATTTTCCAGCATATGTAAATTGATTCATTTTATATTTAGTGGAGTCAGGGAACCAGACTACTTGAACAGTTTTGTTTTTCTTGGTTTTCCAGCATTTTCGAACACAAAACTTCAAACATGTCAGTGTAACAATATTTGATCTATTTTACTAACCCCTGAAATAGTTCATTTCTGAAAATTACAGCAAAAGCCAATGATGTATATTCCCTTTAATTTGAATTGCAGGTTGGAGCTTTGGTGTTGAGTTGTGTCAGCGGCTCAGCGGCGGAGCATCTGCGGCCATACCTACGGGTCTTATGCAATCTCTTCAACACCATGCTGCAAAACAGAGAGAGCCAGTTGGTGCCGTATTACGCCATCAAGGCTATGACGTCGTTGGTGCAACACCTAGGCACAGACGACATTGTAAGTAGACAGTCTAAAAGCAAAGCATCGCATTGAACAAAGAAACTGATATTTATTTGTTTATAGTTTTATTTAGACAGGGTAGCCTCATCAGTTAAAAACTGCTATTACTGAGGGCCCTGTATAAAATGATAAAAATAAAATGAAATAAAAGAAAAATATTATGTAAAATCACTAAAAACATTAAGTAAAATTAGAATGAAGAAACAAAAATGTAAATATGTAAAATATGGGGGTGTGAATTCAAAAATTAGAACAAATTTAAACACTAAGATACACTAAAATTTAAACACTAAGATATTGCAGGATTTGAACCTCTAATTGATAAAAGTGAACCTAGTCACTGGCCCGTTTGTAATTAAAAGCTGTATCCTCGTTCTAAGACTGTTATTTGATAAGGCTGCAGCATTGCTGAAGTTGTTAGCATCGTGATTTTTAGCAGGATCTTTAGCCACATATCCAGTGTTGTAGTCACCACCTTTTCCCGGCTTTTCGGGACCTCAATAATTTGTATCTCTTAATAAATTTTCAGAGCCAAAAACTATGCAAAAGACTGTAATTATTTGATGAAAGAGTGCCGAGATACATACTTTTTTGAGATCAACATTCAAGTTCAGATGAAAATGCTTTATTGAGAGTCAAAATCTGTCCTAGACCTTTTCAAGACCTTTTCAACACTTTTTCAAGATAACTTTCTCCATAAAATGATTTTTTGTAAAACTCTACAGTAACATTCATCCCGAAAAAAAAAAAGATTCCTGATCTAAATTGCTATTTTCCCAGCAATACAAATGTTGTCACTTTTGAATTGGACATCGACCCCCAAAAAAATTGGTCCACATTTGGTTATTGAATTATTACTTAAATAAATTTACAATTAATTGCAGCCAGACAATGTTATCCCGTTCTCGCGGGATAGGCTGGTTCCGTCCCCACAGTCAGTATCGATAATTAATGGACCAGCAGGACCCAGTCTGCCCACAAGGCAGATGTTTTTTCCCAAGAGGGTTGCAGATACTCAAAGTATAAAAAGAAAGGTTTCATACCAGTTGAAAATTATGAAGAGAAAAAAAAATCAAATTTGTTGAAGAGTGTGAGGCAAGTAATTTCAATTAATTCTGCAGCTTGAAACAAAAACCGAAGCCAAAAACACAAGAAAGGTTAAAAAAAAAAATGTATAATTGTAAGTAAGATTGAGGCTTTGCATGGTGGAGATACTAAATAATGAAAGGTTTGCGGAAACACCATGTGCGAATAATTTCTCAACCTGTTTTAATATAAATGTTGACTCTACTTCAAGCCCCAGTTTCGCCCACTGATACCACAAGTGCTGGTGGTGATCCGGCTGTTGCTAGGGAGTGATGAGGACCAGGGTTGCCAGGCGATGGAACTATTTGATGAGTTGGTGGAGTGTGAGGTGTCCATCATCGTGCCCCACCTGAAAGCTGTGGTGGAGTTCTGCTGTGAGGTGAGACGTCATGAATTACTGTCTACTTATAAAGAAAAGTATTTGTCGTCGTTGGCATTTACATGAAACTCTTCTTGACATCCCAGCCCAACCCCTCAAAGGAAATTTTTTTATAAGATGGAATTTGTAAATATAAATTTAATTTTTGGTTTTGCCCTTTGCCGACGTACTTTATAAACACTGTATACATCCGTGTTGTCTGAGGGTTTGAGGGAAAAAATTCACAAGCTTACTGGGGTAGGACTCGAACCCTTGACCTGCTGCTTACAAGTGCAGGTGTAATACCATTTGGTCACCTAGCTAGCTGGGCTCGTTCGGCCAGTTCAAGTCTAATGAAGAAGCAAGTACTGCAACCGAACATTTTTGTAAGATAGAATTGCATTGGGGAGATGTAAATTTTATATTGGGTTTTGCCCGGGGCTGACGTATTATTTAAACAGGGACATCATCAGTGGCGGTGTCACATGAAAATCGGACTCGTATGAAAATCAGACTCTTTTACCTTTTTATTGGTTAAACCCTCTCACGTGACCGGTCCCTCTCCTAATTATCTATGCATGAGCATGCGCAATACGACCAATGAGTCCGTATTTCATAAAACCTAAATTCATGCTACAGCGGCGCTACGGGGGGCAGTTTGTACCCCCCCTTACTTTTCCCCGAACACTTTATCTACAAGTAGATTAATTATGTTTATTTTCTTTGCTATTAAGATTCATAACATTTTGGGCCAATGAAAGCATTAAAACATTGGTACTTAAGACAAAACACACACATGCATTCATACAGCTGTAGATAGTGTGCAGCTAACGTCTTTGTACATTTGTTATACACCATTCTGCGGTTTGATACATTTCTCATTCATAAAAACGACTACACCTCTAAGTTGCGCTAGTGGTTTATTTCTGGACCATTGACAATGGTACGCGTGCACGTACATGTACAAAGGCTTGAGATATTCTTTGACTGCCCCCCAAAAAATTATTTCCTTGTCCCCCAATGCCCCCCAAAATGTTTGAGTCTGGCGCCACCACTGCACATTGTGTGTGTGTATGTACAGGTACATGTACAAGGAAAACTGTATGAGTCATGGGCATTAATAATTATACAGCAGTGATAAAAATTCAAACTTCAAAAAGTAATGTTGATAATAAAGAGTGATAATTTACTACAAAATTTGGACCAATCGATAATTAAGAATCGGTTAAATCTAAAAAAAAAAAAAAGCTACACATGTAGAGTCAGCATGCAGTTTCATTGTTTGAAGTTTATTTGATGGTTGTATATTTTTGTACGTTTTACTTGATTGTTTTGTTGCAGGTGGCCAGCAACGGTAACCTTGGTAACAATGCCCGAGTCAAAGCATTATCCTTCATCAGTTGGCTTACAAGTCTCAAAAAGAAGGTACGGGAAAAAGGATTTGTTTTGGTTCCTCAACCAGTTTTGATGGTTTCTTTGCTCTACGGTACATAACAAGTTGGATCTCATTGAGTTGTTTGTTCTATAAATAATAACTTTCTTCAATCAATTTGAATACAGTGTAATGTAATTGGACAAAAAATAACAAAAAGAGTTTGGCACTTTTTGTGATTACGGCCTGTGAAAGTTCTGTCAGATTTGTTTTTGCTAAAATGGGTCACATGTTAAATATACTGGGTTATTTAAGTGTGAGATTTGTCTGGATTTTAAAAAAAAGTTGTCATCGTATTTCCTGATTTCAGGATCTTTAACGAATCTCTTTTGAAATCTGAAATTCCTTAAATATTTTAAGGTGTCCCAGATGATCTCTTTTTCATTTTTTCCACACTTTCACCCCGGACACTCTGTTTCCATTGGATTTGCACAGGCAATTCTGAAATACAAGCTCGTCAATCCAGTTCTCAAGGTGCTGTTCCCAATAATGTGCACACCCCCCGAGGAAGAAGAAGACGACGAGGATGAGGATGATTGTGGGGAGGATGCAGAGGCCAGTACGCCGTCTTCATTTGCGGCGCAGGTGGAGTAAGATTTCTTATTTGCAAAGCCAAACTCTACACATGGGACAAACTACCGACTGACTAGAACTATTTCATGCAGCTGTTGAGCACATAAGCTCAGCGCAAAAGATTTTTGCTGGGCTATACAAAAAAAGTTACAAGCCAAGTTACCATGCGATTTATGATAACTGTGACCTTTTTTTTGGTCCCAAGCTGAATTTTGAGGTCCATCGTAAACGCTGCACGTTAACCAATTTTCATAGCCTCTTCTTACAAATTTGCAATCCCAAATTCTGTGACAGTTTCTGTGTTTCAAGGGCCAAGATGTCACACTACCTTTCCTTGAATTGGAGTTTTCCTGGGTTCTTTTCAAAATGTCGCAAGCCGGAAAAAATTTTGTTACATGGTGCCACATTGAATGTGATCTTCTTTTCCTTGAATTCTCCCTCCGTTAGGTGATTGACACGATGGCTCTTCACCTCCCACCAGACAAGCTCCTCCCACCATTGATGCAGTTAGCACAGCCGGCTCTGAGTAGTACTAACCCCTATGAGAGGAAGGCTGGGCTCCTGAGCATAGCCGTACTGGCAGAGGGGTGCGCTGACTTCATCAGAAATAAGTAAGTATAGAGTGGGCTTTCTGCATTATGTACCCCCTCAGCAGTCTTGTGAATAGTTCAGTTGCAGTTCCTCTGCTATATCAGATTCGAACCAGCCAGCCAACCCAAGCAATGGTAAGACGTCTGCACTACTAAGCAGGAGGTCGTGGGTTCGAGTCCCACCCGAGTAGTCTGTGGATTTTTTTTTCTCACAATCACTCGGGACAAAGTATACGGAACTTACAAAAATGTGTCGGTGTAGGGCAAACCCCAGTGTTGAATTTTCATCACCCCGACGGGAAGTCCATCTGATGAATAATGCATAGGAGTATTTGGTGAATCATATTGGTATTTGAGTTAAAAGCAAGTCTTTCTCAAGTCCTTACAAGGGCAATCACAAGTCGATTACATATCAAATCATTAGTAAGGCCAAAAAAAAAAAAATCGGTCTCTGGTCAGACCGAAGTTCCGGAATTGATGCGGCGACGCGGCTTTTTTTTTTTTTTTTTTTTTTTTTTCAAGCTTGAATTGTACAGACAAGGTGGGTACTATTTTGCTTTTTTGTGTCCCCATTATACATTAGTGTCCTCCATAATTTGCCTTGGTGCCCTTTATCATTTGCCTTGGTGCAATTTCCCCACTCTTTGATGCTCCTTGGTACAAAAATTTGAGGAGGTGCGGCAATAGAGGGCGCTGTTGTAGCTTCAGTGTTAATTTGAAGGAAAAAATAGGTTGACACGCATGATTAAAATCAGCGCGCGCACTAACCAGAGACCGAGTTATTTATTTTTTTGGCCTAACAAGGGATGAATAGTTCCTTTGTATGATTTCATTTGAATAACTTGAGACTTGACAGTCAGTTGGTGACTTGTGATTTACTTACGATTAGTTTTTTTTAATTGAATTCAATGCCATTGAAACTCCATTTATTTCCATACCAAATGAAAAATTTACAAGCGGAGAATGCACAGATAAGTAAATGAATAAATAAATGGAATTGTCAAAAAGGTGTAAGAAGTGAAAATATATATTGGTATGGAGGCATCCTCTAGAAGCCTAAGCTTGTGGTGAGATGCATTGGACGGACTAACACAGAAAAGAAACAATATCAAGTACGGTACACACGGACAGTTGGACAAGGACGGATCCAGAACACAATTTTTTTGGGGGGCCAAAAAACATTTTGGTCCCCCCAAAAAGTGGGTAAAAAAAAATGTTGGATTCTAGATGCTCTGTGGTGCGATCTGAGGCAATTTCTGACCACTTTAACCAATGTTTTTTTTGAGGAAAAGATGGTGGTGAACTCATTGCCTGCCTTTATTGCGATGTCACATAAAAAAAAAAAAATTGGTTTCGTTTTGGGGGGGGGCCATGGCCCCCTTTGGCACCCCCTGGATCTGCCCTTGCAGTTGGACCAAGGCAGAACCTAAGCATGAAAACTTACCGATAAACTAGAACAGTACATATTGAGAAAAAAATGGACTTTTGATTTGACTTTTTATTATCGACTTGTGATTTGACTTGTGATTTGACTTGTTATTGACTTGTGAGTGGCTAGTAATTTGGCATGTGTTGACTTGTGATCTGACTTGTGATTAACTTGAGACTGACATGTGATTAGCATGGGATTGACTCTCTGATGAATATTTGCCATTGCATCTTACATCCTGACGCACTTTCGTAACCATGTAGTACTTCATGTCATTGTTTTCATACTGTTCCTACCCCAGGCACCTGCAGCCGTTACTGGAGTGCATCTGCACCGGCATTCAGGATACCCAGCAGGTGGTCCGCAACGCCGCCCTCTTCTGCCTCGGTCAGTTCGCTGAGCACCTGCAACCCGACATCAGCAAGTACCACGCCCAGTTACTGCCGCTGCTGTTTGACTATCTCAGCCAGGCGTCGGCAGCAGCTGAGCAGAGCCCTAAAGGAGTGACGAGAATCTACTACGCTCTAGAGATGTTCTGTGAAAATCTAAGTGAGTGTAGAACCACTTTATTTTAATACGTTTGCAATATTTGAACCTTGTTTTTTAATTGTTAATTTTTGCCAGTCAGTTAGACAAGCCAATGTACCTCTCTATACTCTATCTTTTACCCTAACTGCCCTGAATCCTTCAAAATCCTCTTTGCCAAACTGGAGTAGTTTGGAGGATTGAGGTTACATGGCAAAAGTGCATTACTGATTTCGTAGAATGCACTTTGTCAAGGTCTTGGGCCAGACCCTGTGTTGTTTTTGCTCTGCCATGCATAAATATAGGCCTGGATAGGCCTTCTTACTGCTCCAGGATGTCACTGGCCAAGCCTCAACATATTGACAGTCACTGTCGCAGGATTTTGCAGGATTCAGGCAGTATTCACCCGTCCACAACCCATATTCAAGAAATAATGGAAGAATTTGCAGGATTGAGGCTATATGAAATTTTTTCCATGAGGCCAATTGGAGGATTTTGCAGGATTGATGCTAAATCCTAGTCAAAAGGCCTAGGGAGTTAGGGTTAAAGGTAGAGTGGACCATTTGCAGCTATTCAAAAAGTAACTGACCAAATTATTGTTCAAAAAGCTTACTTGGTTTACAGATAGTAATGGCACTAAACTCCCTGTGAAATTATTCCTCTGGCATGCTGTCATTTTGAAGAAAACAATAACAGAAGGCCATTTCCAAAGATGAGTCAAGTGAAACAATTTTTGAATTTTCCGTTAGTAAGTGGCGAATCCATGAATGGGTGCGCGAGCACCAGCGTTGACGCGACACACATGCACGCGCGATTGCTATTATTCGTCAGTTCAGAACGTGACATCGTGTAGCTACAATCGGCTGAATGAGAACGTGTTCTAAATGCTAATTTCAGGCGCAATTTAAAAACATGACTTGGCAACTTTTGAATTGCAATCGAGGATATTGTTTTTTCGGAATACAGCATTCACAGAGTTTCAACTTCATCAGGTTAGTTGTTAAGCACCCGTCTTTAGAGTTTGAGCACTTTTGTTGCTTCAACCGAAAAAAAAGTACAAATGACAAATGATCTACCCTACCTTTAATGGATCGGTCTTTTGACTTTCTGGCATTTCTTTCATTGTCCTCTCTCAAAGGCTGTGTCCAAAACACGTGGCTAGAGCTACGGCTATGTCTATTGTCAGCTTTTTCCCATGTAGTTGTAATTATCAAACACCTAGACGGAAGCCCTACCCAAAAGAGTCAGATGAAGCCTGAGCTATACAGGCATGCAACTTTTCCTCGGATCAGCTGATTTCCTCATTATTTATTTATCATGAATGCCATTACAAATTGAAAAATACTGTGCAAAGTCTTGTGTGGATTGGAATTTCCTCGTTTTTTTTTTCTAAATTCCCAGTTGCATGCCCAGCTATAGTGACTAAATTTACTTTCAAGGGTCCCATACGCATTATCATGAAATTTTTGTTTTATAATTTGATTTTCTTTTCTGATAAGGCTCGGAAGATTTACTTCCCTACCTTCCTACTTTGATGGAAAGACTTCTGGTGACGTTGAAGACGTCCACCAACGTACATATCAAGGAACTCGCCATCAGTGCAATCGGTAGGTAAATCCAAAATCATAGACTTGGTACTGGTCTAGGAGTAGCTTTGGGAAATACATACTTGTTAGATGGATCCTGAATTCTAATGATACATCATTAAAGCTATAGTCCATCATTTGCAGCCATCCGAAAAGGTTACTGGCGTATTATTGTTGGAAAACATACTTGGTTGAAAGATAGTAAGGGGACTAAACTCCCTGTGAAATTATTCTTTCTGGCAAGCTGTCATTTTGAAGTAATCAACGAAAGAAGGCCTTTCCAACGGTGCGTCTTAAGACGCATGGTAGGAAAATTTAAATTAGTAGTTCGTTTTGTTATTCGGTGCAGCGCGCGCAAGCAATGGCACGACGCACAGGCGCACACGGTTGCTATAATTCGTCGGATCAGTGCGCGACATTGGGTATAGCCGCAATTCAAAACAATTCAAAACGTGATTCAGCAACTTTTGATTTGAAATTGAGATCCTAGAATGCTGTTTTTCTCGGAATATACAGCTGAAGCTGAGCTGAAACTTCATCAGGTTAGTTGTTCAGTATTCTTCATTAGATTTTGAACACTTTTGTTGCTTCAAACGAACAAAATGTACAAATTACAAATGATGGACTATATCTTTAAACCAGGGGTCAATTTCACAGAGCTGCTAAGCACAAAAATTTGCTTAGCACAAAAAAGTCTGGCTTATAAAAGCAGGTTATCAGCCAAAACCCCATGTGATTTTCATGCTAAGCAAACAACAGCTGAATACTGATCGCGAGCAATATACATCACATGGAGTTTTGGCTGGTAACCTGCTTTTATAAGCCAGACTTTTTTGAGCTTAGCAAATTTTTGTGCTTAGCAGCGCCATGAAATTGGCCCCCAGGTAGGAATGCAATCATTAGACGTGTTACTAGTGCCAGAAGAGATACTAGTGGTTGTTGGCTGTGAAACTGATATAAGTAATTAACTAGCCTGTGATTTGGTTTGGAAGATTTCAGTATTACCGATAATTCCTTTTTAAAAAAGAACCTCGTTGTTGATTGTATTCTTCCCTTTCCCCAATCCTTGAGGGATTCTTACCATTCTTGATTCTAAAGGAAACTCCTTGTGAATCCCCCAAAATTGGTCTCGATACTGCTCAGAATACCTCTAGTCCAAAGAGCTTTCAGTGAGAACTTAGAAAGAGAGAGTCCAAAAATATTGTAAATTAAAAATTAATAAAAAAATTGAAATTTTTCACTGCTGATACTTTACTTGCAAAATCGGAAATGAATACAGTGTCAAAATTCCAAACCAATCATTGAAAATACTACCAGAGACATTTTGGACATTAAAGCTTTTATAGCCATCAGTGTGTTGGAAGTCTATATCTTTATCTTTAGTGGGGTGCTGTGGTCCAGTGGTTACGGTGTTCGACTTGTGTGCCGTGGTGCATGGGGTCGAATCTTGACGAGGAGCATGGTGCTTGTGCTCTTGAGCAAGGCACTTTACCATTATTGCTTCGTCCTTCGGATGGGACGTAAAGCCGTAGGTCCCGTGTGTTGTGTAATGCACGTTAAAGAACCCAGTAACACTTATCGCTAAGAGAAGGGGTTTGCCCCGGTGTTTCTGGCAGTGGCTGCAATTTGTGCCGCAGCACCTTGTAAACCCTTATAAGGTGCTACATAATGGGTCTCATATTTCTCATCAACTTCATTTACCTGTCTTTAATACTAGACATATTACCAGCGCCTTGAGTACCTAATTGTTGGTAGATACCGGTACGTGCGCTATATAAGACTCCATTATTATTATTATTATTATTCCTACAAATGTACCATTAGGGAGACACGTTATCGTAATTTCTTCGACAATATGGAGACACTGGTCATTAGGGAGACATTTTCATATCTCCCTAATTCAACAGCCCCCCTTTAGAGGCAAAATTTTATTGTCGCAATCAGGTTATATTTGTTGCTCGTGGTCTAATTAGTAAAAATACCGAAATTCGTGGAAAAAGGACGAGGGAATATTGGGTTAGGGCACATTTAAGTTTGATAAATTGCACAAGTCTATGGGAATGTCTCCCAAATGACCCATTCTCGGTAATAATTATTATTATTATTATTTATGCTGTTCTCTTTCCAGGAGCCACAAGCAATGCTGCAGAGAAACACATGCTACCATTCTTCCAACCCATCATGGAGCATCTACGAGTCTATCTGACCACGGCGCAGTCTGGAGACGCACTGACGCTACAGATCCAGGCCATAGGTACGTATTTCGGGCCACTTCCAGAATGAATATCGGTTGCTGTAGTGGAGCTTGGGTCTGAGCTTCTAGTCAGTTCTCTTATCAAAAAATGACTATAGATTCAGGCTATCGGTAAATTTGTAAGTCCTCATACTGAGGCTGAAATTATGGTCAGACATTGCACATTTTCCAACCATTTGCCATATTTTCCAGAATTATAGAAACTGACTATAGATTCAGGCTATCGGTAAATTTGTACGGCCACGTACCGAGGGTGGAATGGTCGAATATTGCACATTTTCCAACCATTTGCCATATTTTCCATATTAAAACAGATTTTGCCTGGCCATATTTTGTACTATAAGTGTACTGTGACATTTAAAATTGACTGTACAATTCCATTTTCCAAACTTTTTTGGTGTCTTTCACCCTCTGATATACAATGTTGAACTTACAGTAAGTTGTTGTTTTTCCCAGGAGGGGTGTTAGTGATAAAAGTGGGTATTTAAAAAGTGCACGTATCCACCAGGACTGGTGCTCAAGGAGCTACATCATTATTACCCCTGCTCATTGGGCAAATGAAACATTCCAAAGACAGTGTCAGCTCCCTCAGGAGTATACAGCTCGATGCTGCCATTACTGGGTGGGGAGAAGCAATGAGTGGCAAAGTGTCTTGTTTAGGGGCACACGCACCTTGACCCCAGGCTGGACTTGATCCCACAACCTGCAGCTTTACACGCGGCCCACGAATTTGATGCCCTTAACCACGAGGCCACAGCACTCCACAGTAAATTGCTCTTGACTCAGGTTTCGATATGACCTGGTCGTTCTCATTCACTCTTTGTGACGTCCAATTCAAATTGAGGCATTGAGCATTCCAAGAGCAAAATTCATAGTTTGGGGTGCACATTTCCTTGATCACCCTTTGGATTCATATGGGGACCTCGATCCTACACGGCCAATTTAGAATATGAAGTTATTGCCAGCTGTAGCCGTGTAATGTGGACATGGCCTAAGTTGCTGATTTTAAATGAGTGTTCATTCTGTATGATGTCCAGATACACTTGGTGTCTTGGCTCGCACCCTGGGGCGAGAGAACTTCCTCCCCCTCGCTGAAGAGTGTCTGCAACTCGGTCTAAAACTCATCGAGGAGGTCAACGACCCTGACCTGCGTAGATGCACGTAAGTACCACCAGGTTTCATGGAGTGTTATGGATTTTGTGTCACAATGTTTTTTTAATTTCCTAACATTTTATTTATTTATTTATTATTTATTATTTATTATTTATTATCAAACCCTCGCGACCAGATAGCCGAATTGCGGTTTTATGTACGATAAAATGATTTTAAAAAGTTAAAATAACATTCATAAATACCTAAGACCGTTTACGCATTCCTATTGGTCGAGAGCCCGTCATGTGTCCGGTCTTAAACGGATGATAAAGACATGGCTAGCTGGTCTTAAACACTTTTCTAGTGTCACATGAAATTTGGACTCCCATGAAATCCGGTGCCTTTTACGTTTCATTGGTTGAACGTTCAAATTCTCCACGTTTGCATGCGCAATACTACCAGTGAATCAGTATTTCATGGTCAGATATTCACACTACACCAGCCCAGCTGCGTTTTGCGCAACATCGCGCAGTACGCGCGACCATGGCGGTGGAATGTGCGACGCGCACGCAATTGTGGAGGGGCATTCCATATTATAGTCAGAGGGGTGTTTCGTGAAACATGAAGTAAAATTGTTGAACAAAATGGTTAACAACGTCTGGTTTTTGACTTGTTTTGATTTTTGGACCGAAAAGATTTGGTTTTTTTTACCAAAAAAGGTATTGATGAATGGGAATAAATACGTGTTTGGTCGGTATTAAACACTCTGTTTAAGACCGGTGGGAGTCTGGGTGGGAGTCTGGATGGGTGATAATTGCCCTCGGCTTCACCTCGGGTAATTATCACCCATCCAGACTCCCACCGGTTTTAAACAGAGTGTTATAATACCTCCCAACACACATTTATTCCCTTAGTTAAAGTCATTACATTACATTACATTTTAAATAAAGTTAACTTCCTAGTCCATAAAACAAATCACGCTTTTTTCTGGGAACCCTCCCGAAACCTCCAAAATCAACCCCGTTCTAAGTCCTAAAACATCCAATGCAAACTTCACCATACAGTTGCCTAGTTGATTTGAAAGGATTGAGAGTGTTAAGCTTTATCTGTGCTTCTTTTTCTTGGTTAAGTCATCTTCTTGAGTGGCCCTTGTGGTTTGCGATATCCAATTAAAGGGAATATACAACATTTGCAAACATCGAAAAACAAAACTACCAATTTTTTTTTGCAAAATACCTTACTATGATGTTGGTAAATGACAGTCTAAAGCATCCTGTAAAATTATGGCACCTGGTGTGAAGTCATTTTCAAGAAAAGTGGTATTTTGTATAAATTTCCAAAGGTGGTCGACTGACCACCGTTGGAAAAACCGAACTATTTTTCAACTACTGCTCCAAATTTACCATTTTTTTTCAGTCCAAATTTTGTTTGCTATTGGTTACAAACTTGTTCATGAACTGGTGCAAGCCAGTTAGACTGGTTCCATATCCTTACAATTTTCCGGCATCTATAAATTTATCCATTTCATCTTTAGTGGAGTCAGGGAACCAGACTACTTGAACATTTTGGTTTTTCTTGGTTTTTCCAGTAATTTCGAACACAAATCTTCAAACATGTCAGTGTAACAACATTTGATCTGTTATACTAACCCCTCAAAATAGTTCATTTCTGAAAATTACAGCAAAAGCCAATGATGTATATTCCCTTTAATATAAGAATTTATAAGTTTGTCTTGTACTTTTTGCATTTCTGGTAGAGTCTTTGATTGTTTTGGTATCCAGGTATGGGTTGTTTGCATCGCTGTCCCATGTCCTGGGAGTTGAGATGTCTCCCTATCTTGAGACAATCACCAAGCTGATGGTGGACTCCTTACTGTCTACAGAAGGAATTGTGGTAAGACTTTGAGAGTTGAAGAACGCAAGCCAACCTTTTAACAAAGATTTTACAGCATTGTCATTTTTTGGGGGGGGGGGACTTAACTTAGAACTGTCTTGGGTATTCATGAATATAACGATCTTATGAATAGTTTCATCGCGGTACCCGCTGATATATCAGATTCGAACCAGCCGATCTTGGCAAGCTTGGTGGTCCAGTGGTAAGACATCTGCACTAGAAAGCAGGCAGTCATGGGTACGAGTCCCACCCGAGTGATTTTTTTCTCACTTTCACTCAGGGGGTAAATTCACAGATGAAAATTCCATTTTATGAACATTAGGTTAATATACATGTAGGATTTTTGTTGCAACTTTTCAAAAATCATAAAGTCATGTAAAAAATTTGGAACAAATTATGTCTTTTCCAAAACCTTACTTTTCCATTTTCTCAAAACAGGACATTGATTGAAGCTATTGACTCCAAATGGTGCCTACCATCATTGGGTCAATATTGCAGTGCATCGTTTATGCCAACCAAATTAAGGCAATACATTATGTATTCAAGGAGTTAAAATAAAAGATTTTCGTGTCCTTTCATTTTTGACAGGCCCATTACAATGAAGAAGACAGCGGCGTCTTGTCATTATTTGACGATGACGATGACGAGGCAAGTGAAGAGGACATCGAAGGAAGCAATCACCATGACAACAGTGAAGAGGATGAAGATATACAAGGGTCAGCAGCCACAGCAGTTTTCCTTTGTTATTTCCCATTTGTTTTGCTTTTAAGAAGTGAAATGTATTTTTGTTGGGGGGCACCTCAAGATACTCCTTTTTACTTTTCACTTGCATGATTGTATGTCTGCTGTGTTAAGCCTCGTGCCTGATGTGCATATGTGACATGCGATCTTATCTGGAATGCAAAATAGTATCTTATGTTAAACCAGTATACATTTGAATGCTTTACCCTGGTTATTGAGGCACATTACTTTTCAGCGACAATTCCCTAGAGGGCGCTATCTGTCCTGGCATGTTTCAGGTCAGGAGATGAACTAATTTCATCATCCAAGGGTGCTGAAGACTGTTAAATCTTTGATTAATATCGTTGGATACTGTTTAACCGGTGACCATGTATGTGTATTGATCACGGCGGAAAGACACTCACAATGCCTTATGATGACTCTGTTGCCTCGTTCACAAGCGTCATATCAATAGGACAGTGGGTACAAGCAAACTCGGGTCATTGCTTGGGCCATTTCTCAATTTTGTTGCCAGCTTTGACCTCATTTGTTTTCTCCTGAGCCATTTAAGAAGCCAGAACAACTTAGCAAAATTTGACTAGAATAAAGGGGAATTGAAAGCAGAAGACAGGTTGACAAAAGTTTTGTCTTGTTGGTTTGCAGGTACAGCGTGGAGAATTCCTACATGGAGGAGAAGGAAGATGCATGTAACTCCTTAGGGGAGATTGCAACCAACACAGGGTGAGTCTTAAGCACCCCCCCCCCCCCCCCCCCCGATTGTCCTTTGTTAAAGGGAAAATACAACATTTGCAAACATCAAAAAATAAAACTACCAAATCATTTTGAAATACCTTGCTGGACTGTTAGTGAATGACAGTGTAAAGCATCCTGTAAAATCATGGCACCTGGTATACTGTCATTTTCAAGAAAAGTGGTATTTTTGTATCAATTTCCAACGCTGATCGGCCGACCAGCGTTGGAAAAAACTGGCTTTTTTTCAAATACTGGCCCCAGTTGACCATCGCACTTGTTTGCAATCGATTACACACCTATGAACGGGTACAAGCCAGCTAGACTGGTTCCCTGACCTTACAATTCCCCAATGTATGTAAACTGCTCTGTTTCTTCTTAAATGGAGTCAGGGAACCAGACTACAGGAAAATGATTGTTTTTCTTGGTTTTTATAGCATTTTCGAACCCAAAACCTCAAAAAAGTCAGTGTAACTATATTTGTTATATATTTCCAACCCCCCAATTCCATCCATTTCTGAAAATTACAGCAAAAGCAAATGATGTATATTCCCTTTAACCAGTTCGCGCAGGGATTATTTTGACAAGAACGGAATGAGGCGCGGGATTATTTTTCACTCGAACTCAAGCCAGATGGGTTGAAGCCACTACCCTCGGGCAGCATACTAATATTTCCGGCCAAACTCGAGCGGGTCGCTGTCAGATATCATCCGTTCTGAATACTGCAAAAACTTTGCTTGTATACACGTCATCCGGCGCAAACTGGCTAAGACATCGAATGAACTGTGTCTTTTGACGACAGGCAAAGCACGCTGTTCAAATTGTTGAGCTTTTCAACAGAGGTTCAAACAGAGCCTAATAAAGTCATAAAAGAGTTTCCTTACATGGTGAAACAAAATAATAGATATAGAAATTCACAACCAAATTTCATAGCACTTCATGTATTACCTACTCCCACGGTTTACAACATGACCAGATTTCAATCATTTGGTTCCGACATATTTTGAAACACAACGTCATGCTGTATTCTCTCTCCCTGGTTGATGTTGTCAGAGTTGCCTTCATGCCCCATCTGGACACCTGCTTCGGTGAAATGATCAAATTGATTGACTACCCGGCGGTCAACGTCAGGAAGGCAGCCATCACCAGCTCAGGTCACATGTGTTGTAGTCTGAGGAAAGTGATTCAGCTGACGAACCCTCAGGAATCAGCAGGTATGAGCAACGGAAGATCCTGGGGGCCAACGGGGGCCATGCCCCCCCCCCCCCCCCCCAAAAAAATGAGGTTTTTTTTTTTTTTTTTATGACTTCGCAAAAAAGGCATCCAATACATTTTATTTTGTTGAAAACAATACCTTGTGTTTCGTATAAAAAAAAAAATTGGGGGGGGGACATTTTTGACCCACTTTTTCGGGAAACAAAAATGTTTGGGGCCCCCCCCCCCCCTTAAAGAAATTGTGGTCTGGAGCCTCCCTTGGGTATGGGCTTCTACGCGAACAAGATAACCCACTTAGTTACCTCCTACAAGAGCCCCATGGACAGGACGCACTGCGTGTGTTCTGGTTGGCATGCGTTTGTCACCAAGTACACACGACTATCATGCATAGCACCCTTGGCTTTGCTTCGGGTGCTATGCGCCCCTCGGGTGTTAAAAACGCCATGTCCCACATCATAACAGTCAAACAGTTAAAGATATAGTCCATCATTTGTAATTTGTGCATTTTGTTCGTTTGAAGCAACAAAAGTGTTCAAAATCGAATGAAGTATACTGAACAACTAACCTGATGAAGTTTCAGCTCAGCTTCAGCTGTATATTCCGAGAAAAACAGCATTCTAGGATCTCAATTTCAAATCAAAGTTGCTGAATCATGTTTTGAATTGTTTTGAATTGCAGCTATACGCGATGTCGCGCACTGATCCGACGAATTGTAGCAACCACGCGCGCCTGTGCGTCTTGTCAATGCTTACGCGCGCTGCGCCGAATAACAAAACGAACCACTAATTTAAATTTTCCTACGGTGCGTCTTAAGATGCAACGTTGGAAAGGCCTTCTTTCGTTGATTACTTCAAAATGATAGCTTGCCAGAAGGATTAATTTCACAGGGAGTTTAGTCCACTTACTATCTTTCAACCAAGTATGTTTTTCAACAATAATACGCCAGTTACTTTTTCGGATGGCTGCAAATGATGGACTATAGCTTTAAGTGGAGCCAAGCAACAAAATTGAACTGGTAGTAAAAAGTGATACAAAGGGCCATACCATAATGTGTGAAGTCTGTTTTACTCCATTTCATGTCTCGCGTGTTTTACCTCCCGTTATCAGCTCTTGCCAAAGCAGTGGACCAGACCGTGCCCCATTTCATCCACATCGTCAACACGGAGACGGACCGGACAGTTGTCATGGCAACCCTGGAGACGCTGAATGAAATGCTGGGGACGTTACAGGGCACCATGGTCAATGAGCAGGGCAATCTGAGTGGCATCAGTAGTGCTATCAGAAACGTTCTCCAACGCAAGGTATGCATCTTTCGTCTCATTGCCCTGCCTTTTCAAACCTGAGGCGGCCCGCCTCGCTGCTTTCAGTGACCCCCTCACTCAGTTTTTGCCAATATCACCACCTCACTGTGAAGATTTGTAATAAAGGAAATACTGATCGAAAAATTTCATTTTGTGTAATTTATGCGACTTCCTTGACTTCTATGTATCAAGAACTCACAACTTGGATGTGTAGATGGAATCATCGTGCAATATTTCTGAACTGAGTTTTTGGTTTCAAGAAAATTCAGCTTTACCCCCTCATTCTGTACAAGTAGGTCTCCTGAAATGTAGGAAACGATTCCGTTTTAACCGCCAGCTTGTTTTGTTTGTCCCTTTATGTTTTTCTCTTGAAGACGGCTTGTCAGGACCAAGATGACGATGATGATGACGATGACGATGGCGATCAAGCTGAATACGACGCAATGCTGATTGAGTATGCCGGTGATCTCATCCCATCGCTAGCCAGGGCGCTAGGTGGACAGGCATTTGCTCCTTACTTTGCTGGCACTCTGCCGCTACTGCTATCAAGAACGGTAAGTCATCAATGATGAAGTCGAGTCCATCACAAGTCCCTGCAAGTCCATCACTAGTCCTTCAGTCCCGATTCACGTCACAAGCTATTCAAATGAGCTTTGACAAAGGCATTGTAAATATCCATCCACTGTTTCTGGACTTGTGAATTGACTTGTGACTGGACTTGTGATGGACTTGACCACATCCCTGTAAGTCATGTCTCACTGGAAATGCCTGAATTTGATTCTGTATTCAAAATTTAGGAGGGAGTTACAGGGCATGTGGGGTCTAGCGGTGGAGCACAGAGTTCATGATCGTGAGGTTGTGGGTTCGAGCCCCACTTTTGCCGTGCGTGTTGTGTCCTTGAGTAAGACGCTTTACCTCAATTACTCCTCACAACCCAGGTGTTTAATGGGTACCGGCATTATTCAATGCTGGGAAGGTAACAGACTCGCTGTGGAGGAGGTGTGGCGATCCCCCCACAGCAGCACATGAGTCTGGCCCAATCACTAACGAAAGAGAAATGACCACTCCGTTCCTGTTAACACAAGTTTGTCCCCTTTTTTACAATACTGTAATTTTTTATTAAGAATTCAAGGTTTTAATCTTGTTTTGAACCCGTTTGTCCCACAGAAGAAATCCTGTTCAGCAGCTGAGAAGTCTTTCTCCGTGGGTACGTTATCGGAGTCCGTGGTTGGTATGGGAGATGCCGCCCAGCCGTTCCTTCCTCATCTACTCCCTGTCTTCCTTCGCATGGTGCGTGACGATGACGAGGAGGTCCGTAGCAATGCCGTCTTTGGTCTGGGAGTGCTGGCCCAGAACTGTGGGGAGGCGGCGTACCAGTATCCTTTGCTTCTCAAATGCCAACAGGAGTGTCATGGCCTAGCGGTTAAGAGCACCGCACTGGTGTTTCAGAGGCAGCAGAATGTGGGTTCGAGCCCGGGTCTGGACACTTGTGCCCTTAAAGGGAATAATGTACAACATTTGCTTTTGCTGAAATTTTCCGACATAAATGAATATTTAGGATTAGTATGTGATAGAAAATATTGTTAAACTGACTTGTGTCACGTTTTGGGCTTGTAGATGCTGGAAAAAACAAGAAAACCAATCATATTCTTGTAGTCTGGTTCCTGACCCCACTTAAGATGAAACGAAGCAATTTATAGACTTTGGGGAATTGTAAGGTCAGATAATCAGTCTAGCAGGCTTTTACCCTGTTCATAGGTGTGTAATCAATTGCAAAGAAAATGCGAAATAACTAAATATGAACATTTAGAAGCACTTTTTGAAAAAAAGCCAGTTTTCTCCAACGCTGGTTGGCCGACCGGCGTTGAAAAAATACAATTTTTCTAGAAAATGTGAGCACACCAGCAGCCACAATTTTACAGGATGCTTTAGACTGTCATTCCCTAGCAATCCAGTAAGGTATTTCGTGATTACTTGATCATTTCGTTTTTTGATGTTTGCAAATGTTGTATCTTGCCTTTAAGCACATTATTGCTTTAGGCACATTATTGCTTCGTCCTTCAGATAGGACATAAAGCCGTCAGTCCCATGGGTTGTGTAATGCAACGCACGTAAAAGAACCCAGTAACACTTATTGCTAAGAGAAGGGGTTTGCCCCGGTATTCTGGCCTCCTGTTAAAACTCCCCTACGGAGTCCTTAGGAGAAGAACCAACCAAGTACCAAGTACAGCAGTGTCGCAATTATGTGTGAAGAGTGGAACTTTCTTGCCTTCCAAGTCTTGTGAACCTTCACATTAGGTTTTTCATTTCCCAGTTCGGTTTTCCTAGGCATTTTTCCTCTTAATAAATATTCAACTTGTATGTTCTATTTCAATCCAAATAACTATTGTTTTTTTTTTTTTTTGGTGGTGTCTGCAACCCTCTGAAAAAAAAGGGTTTTAGTTTGGATATGATCAGATCCATCGAACCTGAAGTCATTCAAATTTAGTAAAGTAATAGTAAAGTAATAAGAAAAGGAATCCATTTGGGGGGGGGGGGACTTGAAAAGAGAATGGGAAATGCAACTTTGACTTTCTCAAAGTTTTAACAATTCTAGAAATGGAATTTTGTGATACTTGAAAAGTTCAAGTTTTGAAAAGTTGTTTGAGCAGTCACTGGCATGGACTTTTACTAGCAAGCTTGGTATGCAATGAATGCATTTTCATCATGGTTTGTTTTCGTTCTCCTTGACGCAATGGTGACAGACATTTCGCCAACATTCTCCAGGCTCTGTCCTCCGTCATGGGACAGGAAACCAACCGACGCGTCGTAGACAACGTCTGCGCCGCCGTCTGCCGACTGATTGTCACGAACCACTCCCTGGTCCCGCTAGAAGAGGTAAGGGGTTGTCTCCGTCAGGGAATGGTAGAGGGGCGAGTGATGATGGAGATTCTTGATAAGTCTCTCTGAACCCAAATTCGTCTTTGGGGAAAAGTATAACAATTCCATAACGTGTTTTTATGAGGGTTTGGGGGAAGGTTGGCTTGACAGAAAGTTGGCTTGCCAATTGTATGGCGCTAAGTTGTGGTAATTTCTCATTTACATTGTAAAGTAAATCCTTCCTTAGGGCTCCAGTGCCTTGTAAGTAAAATGTCAAGTCAAGTGAAGAGCCAATATGGCCCAACAAGCCGGCATTTACATTTATCTCCAGTTTTAGCGGCAAAAATCGGATGAGAATATTTCTGTTCCCCAGGACGGGGTGTCAGTTCATGGCAGGTTACTCCCTAGCTAATGCAGGTACCCATTTGTGCTCCTGGGTGGAGAGAGGCAAGTGGGGGTGAAGTGGCTTGCCCAAGGACACAACATATGTCCAGCAGGTGGATTCCAAACCCCTGACCCACTGATCATGAGTCACGAACCCTAACAACTAGGTCTCACTCCCATCCAGTGCCTTGTAGCCAGTAAGAATAGTAAAATACTCTTAAACATTTCTTGAAAGAATTCTGCATTACAGGAAACATTTAGATTTATTGTAATACTTATATTTATATTGCAACAATACATATCATCCTGTGGCCAGGTGATTCCAATGCTTCTAAAGTTCCTACCCTTGCAAGATGATCTTGCCGAGAACGATACAGTGTACGGTTGCATCCTGCAGCTGTACCAAGCCGCCCATCCTACCATCATGGAGAACCTGCCCAGCTTTCTGACCATGTTTGCACAGATCCTGCATCAACTCACTGAATGTAAGTAGCTTCTGCGAGGCGTGGACGTATGGACTCCATGCGCGAACATGAAAGCCCAGCGGACGGAACACACCATACTGGTTTGCTCAAGTATGGCCCGAAGTACGCCGACTTATTTTATCCTGATTGTGCACAAAGGCATAGCTTCTTCGCGTGAGTGTCAGGCGTTGTCAGCAATGCATTTGAATATATCACTCCAAGTGGTCTCCCCCAATTCTCCCTTCTTTGCCATTGAGGGGGTACTTGTGCACGGAGCCCATATCGGCGAAGGTCTCTGTACGCTCATGGTGGCCCCCAGTAATGGCCGGAGCATTGTGTGAGCGTAGTATTGTTCAGAGTGACCATCATGGAGCAGTTGTTTTGTGCAATGGACTCTGTGCATGAACAAAGATGGCGCTTTGTGACAACTCACATGAGCTCCAGGTGTAGAACACACTGGCGCAGTCCTACTTCACATAACTCTCGAGGACAAGGCATTGTCTTTCCCTTTGTCCCTATAATATAACACTCTCCCATAGACTAAGTACACAGACTCGCGAATCGAGGACCATTTTCAGCAAACGATGAACTCTCAAGGACAAACAAAGAATCTGTTGTTCTCCCTTTGTCTGTCTGTCCTGGGGGTGTATGTAATCCATGTACACAGGTTTGAGCGCGTTTGACATGGCATACACACTAATGATGTGCATCGGGTCGGGTTAACAAGGCCAAACTGACCCGAAACATTACAGATATAAACTGAATCCGAACCGAAACCGATCATAACTCCCTCAAACCGACCTGGCCCGACACGACAAAAAATAAGGTAAAACCGACCCCGACCCGAAAAAAAAAATGAATACCTGGCTTGGACAAAGTGATCACTTTTTGTGCCTGCCCTTACCCACATGGCATGAATTCTTTTGCAAACCCATCGTCTCTCTCTGTAATATTCAGTGGGTTGATCGAGAGTAACTCCGCTTATTGCAAATGCATGGTATCATCACGCGGTATCATGAAAACTGTTACAATCTATCTACTTCACCGTCAGTCCCGATCCGACTGGAGAAATTAATACCGTGGGAACTTGATAGTGCACTCGGTGGCCACACCTCAATGGGCTGCAGTCACAGTGACCGTCAATAATATTGCATCAGCTGAATTTCTCAACTGTTTCGGTTTATTTCGTTTTTTTCAAAAGATAGCTAAACCTACCCGACCCGACCCGAAAATGTAAATGCAAAACCGAAACCGACCCGACCCGACTGAACAAAATAGACAAACCGACCCGACCCGACCCGAAATCTGCTTTGGGTCGGGTCGGTTTCAGTTTCGGGTCGGGTTTGCACATCATTAATATCATACACAACTAATGTTTATCTGATTTTTGCACCATCTGGTGCGCCTGTGTAAATGGCTGAAGCCACTTTCCGTAATCACATGTGTTACTTCCCGCTGTAGGCAATTAATAAATACAATTTCTTCCAAATTTCGTTTATGACTTGTTTTCCTTTGCACATTAATTTTACTACTACATGTCAAAAAAAACAACATATCCCACTTTTGATCCTAAATAACTCTGTTTGCGGAATTAAACCAAAATTTCAGATCAGGTATACAAGGCATGACAAATTTTATGGAGCGAGTTTTGTGCAAGAGGGTGTGATTTAAACACCATACGAAAAAAATACTCACTTTCAAAATGGTGATACAGCGCTGGAGACTGTGGTGGAAGGCGCGTGCTGCGGCCGAAAGCTTCTGAAGGAATGCAGAATCACCCCTGATGTCATTGCACACCTCCTTGATCGTGTGTTGCAATGACATCAGTGGCGATCCTGCATTCTTTCAGAAGCTTTCGGCCGCAGCACGGGCCTTCCGCCACCGTCTCCAGTGCTGTATCGACAAGGTTGTCAAGTCAAAAGTGGCAGATTCTGAAAGTGAGTATTTTTGTTCAAAGGAATAGAGCGACAGATGGTACATGCCAACACTTGCTTTGTAGCACGTATATTGGCTCTGTAGCACGTATATTTTCAGCAGTTTTTTTTTTTTTTAGGGGTCGAATTTGTGAATTTCAAACTTCTTTCCATTTGTGCAGATGCCACATCCTGCGTCGTGCAGATAATCTCCAGCACCCGGCAGAACCAGCCAGACGTGTACACTGCAGTTCTCGTTTCCCTCCCAGAACCCCTAGCAACCACGTTCAATATGGCCGCCGTTTCCTCGGTGACACAGGTGGGTACATGACCCACAATGCAACTCGCATAACATCGTAAACAAATCAGAAAGGCATTATTAGTGATACAGAATTAGTGATCAGAACATGAAATTACTAATGAAATTTTCTGCTTTTATTTTGTAATTTATGCATAAATTGTGCGGATTTTGAGTCTGCACCATGCCAGAGAACGTAAGTCGAAAGCAAAAACTCAGTATTAAAAAGTACAACTGTAAGCATTTTTTTTATGCAGAAAATCAGTAATCTGTGAAATATTGGGGGGAAAATGCAGTAATTTATAGCAAATGTTATTTAAGCTCTAAACTGTACCAATGCAAAGCATGACATGACAAATGAATTAATTTTCACTTCAGTAGAGAATTTGTCATAACGTTACCCTGCTGTGATTATGCACGTAATCTGACTATAATGGCTTGACATACTGTACAATCCTGTGCACATTCAAGTCTAATATTTTCTCTGAAATTCCTGCTTTTGTTCCTAAAATGGCTGTATGCGTTGTGTGTTTCGATCAAAATGTAGATTTCCATGAAATAGAGATTCGTTATTCACGCTTGTGGATTTTCATTGAAATTTTGGACACAAACATCACCATAATAAAAATTTAAGAATGTTGATGATCGTTTTAAACCTCATGGGATCATTTGCAGTTTTCCAAAACTTAGAATGAGAGAAATCGTAACTGTGAGATACGACCATTGCAAAAACACTGTGAAAGCTTTACATCTGACATGCTGGATTTTTATAAGAAAATAACATTTTATGTTGAATATTATCTTCTATACAATGCCTGAAAAAAAATCCCCATCATCTAATTGGTTGGTAGTTGACCACGTGTTGTTAAAGTATTCGTCCCAACCCAAGATTTTGGGGGTTTTCTATCAAAATTCATAACATTCCGAGTGTTCTCGTTCACATCAAGGAAATAAAATGCAAATGGTCCTATGGGGCCTTCCAGCAAAATGAAAATATCCTAATTTTACTAATTTCTACTTTCGTTAATCAAAATCAAAAAAGTCGGTATATGAATCAATATTGGGAAAAATAAAATGTGCCATGAAAATAAATACCTGATGTGTAATATATCTGTCTGGCTTTATTATTGCTTCATAAATTCTCCACCCCAAAACATGAGGACGAAACTTTCAAGAGGAATACTTTGGCTGGCCTTTAACAGTTATTACGATAAGAGGAACTGTGTTGAGATCTTCCAGTTAGGATACTCCGGAGTTGCGCGGTTATACACCATGCGAATGTGAATGCAGTTTATTGCCTTGATGAATGCTGACACAGCGTTGAGTCTGTTTACACTGCTGAGAAGAAATGATTATATTGTTGCAAAGCAATGAAATCTCTGAAGCCACCTGCTTCAATCATGGGTTCCCGTCTCCAACTTGAGATGGAACAAGTTGGCATTCAAGCAACTTTGTACTTCCTTCACTCATCTGGCACCAACTCCCCGGTGAAACATGGTCGTTGGCACAAGACACCAGTAGTGAAATATTCCAAGATAAGAGATAAGTTGATTACCCCTTACAGGCTTACATAAATATGTCATCTACTTGCTGTAGTAGACTGATCTTATATTCCAATCATTTCACATCTTAAATCCATATCTGCCACAGTATACTCGACATAAACTTCTTGTTTTCTTGAAAAGGGACTGCCAGCATGTCAGATGTAAGTTGAGCTTATTTTTCTAGACTTAACATTAAGTATATGTACTCAAGTTGACAACAAGCAAAGCTGTGTAAGCTAGTGTTTCTATAATTTTGTGGGTTTTATTTGTTTTCATAGTTTGTGTATGTGAGTTTTAAAAAATTGGTAAAGTGAAAGAAATACAAAATGTAGGCAATTTGATTTGAATTTTCAGTCTTGACTTTCATGGTGATTGTGCTTACCTTTTTTTTACCGTCCATAGTTTTATTTAAGTATCAGTGTCCAACTTTTCTGGGTTTTTCTTCATTCTCAGAGAAGAACACTTTTTACTCACTTTCAGGAGACTGACACTCCAGTAGGTGCAATAGAATCAGATCCAACTCAGGCTCTTACAAATCCTGAACCAGCATCCAAAGATCTCTCAAAATTGGATAAGAACAATAGCTGTGCACAGCCTGCCAAGGAAGTAGCAGCGGCTTCTACGGAGGAGGTAGAAGAGGCTTCTAGGGAGGAGGTACAAGAGGTATCTAACGAGGAGGTAGAAGATGCTTTTGAGGAAATGAAAACTGAAACAGGAGATGGAGGAGACAAGGCGGAAGATGTCGAGTACAGCATCATCGAGGGTTCCTCCCAGAGACAACGGCCAAAACTCGTGGACAGCAGAGGCTTTGCCTACACTCTGTACAACAGGAACAAAGATGGAAGCACCACATGGAGGTACCTGGGTCTCAGAGTTGTGGTCTGGGTACTTGTGATGGAGCACAAGCCATCACAAGTTCATCAATTGTCCATCACATGTCCGTCCACAAGTCAATCACAAGTCCATCAAAGTGCATCACAAGCCCATCACAAGTCCACCACAATTCCATCACAAGTCCATCACAAGTCCTCACAAGTCCATCACAAGTCCTCACAAGTCCTCACAAGTCCTCACAGGTCACAAGCCATCACAAGTCCATCACCAGTCAATTACAAATCTATCACAAGTCCATCACAAGTCCATCACAAGCCATCACCAGTCCATCACAAGCCATCACAAGTCAATCACAAGTCAATTACAAGTCCATCACAAGTCCAATCACAAGTCCATCACAAGCCATCCACAAGTCCATCACAAGTCTTCACAAGTCCCTCACGTCAATCAATCAATCTTAACTTTATTTCCAATTCCAACGCTGAACAATAAACATGTGTAAAGAGATAGTATGGATAAGAGTATAACATAAAATAATAAGAATGAAAACAAAGCTTGGTAATGGAGGGGGTACATAAGAAGCACAGCTTGTCGAGTATGGGCCCCCTTAAAGTTGTGTTGTTTGTAGATTGGGTGCACACAATGATAGAAAGGACCCAAGCTACAAGCAATACAACAAAGTAAACACAGAAGGAATCAAACAAGACATATTAAGGCAAACAATAGGATGGCCAAAGAGAAATGCATAAACTTAGAATATTAAACATAAGGGTAAACAAACAAAAACAATAGTGTATTCAAATGAACTATGGCAAATAAAAAATATTCCTTGGTTATCGTCCAACCCCCCTCGCCCTCCCTTTTACCCGTGACTGAACTAGTGATATGACTTGCGATTTACTTGTAACTGGGCTTGTGACCAGGCTTGTGATCTTCACAAGTACCTCGACGCAGCACTGCATTAAATTTTATAATCCACAACCACACCAGATATTTGTATTGCGCCTTTTCATAACATTTGATTCCACAACCATGTACATGTATTATCAAAGCGTACCTTTAAAAAATTAACTTTGATTGAAAGTATTTCCCAAATCATATTGGACTTGTAATCATAAGACTATGGCTGTTATCAGATACACTTGTTATGTAATGTAATTGCATTTGAAAAGGTCAGTGATGTCTAGTTCTGTTTTGGACATTTTGTATCTTGTCACATTTATGTTGTAATTTGTGTCCTGAAGGTGCACATTAAGGAACAGGAACGCATTTTGCGGCACGATTGTGAGGCAAGCCGGTGACCAGTTCCGGCTGGGCAAGAAGGACCACCTTCACCCAGGAACACCGGGTCAGCTCGCCATGGCAAACGTCGTGGCACAGGTCCGAACCGCAGCGACGGATCATCTCTTCGAACCAGCTAGCAGCATCATTAACAACATCCTCATCAAGAACAAGGCCGACGCCTCGGTTGTGTTGTTGCCCAAGACGAGAAGTCTGATTCGGAGAGCCTGTCGCGTCCGTGAGAAGCAATACCCGCAGCATCCCACGGACCTTGCGTTTGTCCTGGAGCAGGATGCCATTCAAAAAGGTAAGCGGAAAAAAATTCATCTTAGCTTATTTACATAAGTTCAATAAATGCAAACAAAACAAGACTTCTGTGTGGTCTCAGCAACTAGGGGCACGTTCGATCATAAACCAATGGTTAACTACTGGTCGGTTCGCGAATTTGTGACATACATGTACCTAGCACATGAGCACTGAAGTTGAAGTGCAAACGACTAGGGTCAAACTATTGTGTCAACGATCATGAGAAAATGGCAGTGGCACAAGTTTTCAACACTTGATGTTTCTGAGCATGGACGGCCTTATTGCAAACCAGAAACTGGAGACATTTTCAGTGCATAACAAATGCATTCTTTTCTATTCATACAGATTTCCTGCTAAAGGATGTGCAGGTGCGTAACAGGCGGCACCTGATTTTCTCCACCCCCAATCAGCAGGTTCTTCTAGCGAGGAGTACCAGGTGGTACATGGATGCCACCAGCAAGCTGGTCAAGCCACCCTTCACCCAACTCTTGGGGATCCACTGCTTCGTGAAGAAAAAGCAAGTCATTAAACAGGTTGGTACCGTAATTCTGATGCGGGCCATTCAATAAATTTTGGGGTCCACTCTACAAAACGTGTTTTGAACGAAATAATGTTAATCGGAAAGAACATTTAAAAGTAGGGTGTAAACATCCACACAACTATCCTTTAAGAACTGGGCGCTTCTGTAGTATTCTTGTGTTATTCGTGCGAGAACGACTTTCGAGGTCCACTTTTGCCACCCCAAAAAGTCGGGCTGTTCGTGCTATTGTGATTCCAGCCGTAAGGATTCGCCTTTTGCGGACGTGTAAGAAATCACATTTTGTGCATTGGCGATTGGTCACCACTGTTCGTGAGCACGGTGCTGTGTACATGTGTGATACCAGACTCCCACAACGTGAATCGTACATTGTTGGAAAACAACAGGAAACATGCATCATACTCTGTCATGTCATAAACAATCCGGTTTTTGTCGTCTTTTCTCAGGAATGGTAAGACATTAGGTTGGTTTCCTTTTAACCAGATGTTTGAAGAAGGATAAGTAAACAATCCAAAACATGAAGTTTTGGGGTATTTCAGGACACAATGCCCCTTTAATATCTCTTATTCACAGGTACCACTGACGTACATCTTAATGACTGGAAAGAAGAAGCGAGATTACAAGTTGGTACTCAAGGCCCTGAAAAAACGTCTTCCGAAAGAGATCTGCCTCAGAGAGATTGTCGCGGACTTTGAGGCTCCACTCTGGGGAGCCCTGGAGTCCGTATACCCTGAAATCACCCTTAAAGGCTGCTGCTTTCGCTGGAAGCAAGCCATCTGGAGGAAAATGCAGGACCTAGGTCTGCAACCGGCTTACAAGGACAAGGGTGAGATCTACAAGCTGCTGCAATATGTGCTGGGGCTGCCCTACCTGCCTGCAGAGATAATCCCAGCTATGTTAACATCCATGAGAGACATGGCCGATAAAGAACTAGAGATGCTGCAGAAGGTATTTTAAAATATATTTCTAACTAAATCGTTCTATTTTATGGAGTATTTGCACATGGGGAATGTTTAGACATCAAGGCAATGCCATTAAACATTTGGAGAATTCTTTTCCAAAATGCAATATATCCATTTGGATACAAATTGTGCACGATTATCAAAGTTTAAAGAATAAAAATAGTAAAACAGATGTTTCTAAACTTCATGTCTTGCTTTATTTTCTTCTTGAATTGTGTTTAACTATATACATGTTAATCAGTTCGAAATTGACTTTGAGCTGCCAGGGCATAGCGGGATTCTAAAAGGTATACATGTATATGACTTGAAGCTTTGCATGGCGGATGAGATACCATGTGGAAAGATATCTCTTCTTGGAAGATGTGTGGTTGTGAAAAGAACCGGTTGGTTGAGTGAACCGGTTGGTTAAGTTCTATACTCAACCAAACAGTTCTTTTCAGAACCACACTTCTTCCAAGAAGAGATATTTTTACACATGGTGTTCCGCAACCTTTTAATCTATTCTAAAAGGTTACAAAATGGCATTTATCGCTTTTTAGAAAAACATTGTGAGCAAATTGTCGGCAGACATCCTTGTTGGATTACACTTAAGTGTAATTTTACTTTGTTCTGATGAAATGTTGTTTTGTTGTCTTAAACTTTAGCTCTTTGACTACGTATCATCGACGTGGATCGAGAGCAACCAGTGGCCACCAGAAGCATGGTCGTGTTATCGTCAGTGCCTCCGTACTACCACCGACTGCGATGGATGGCACCAACGACTCAAGCTTACAGCACGCAAGAGTAGGGTCTCCCTCTATCATCTGATAGAGCTTCTTTACACTGAGGCCAGTAACGTGGACATCCGTACAGAGCTAGTATCAGACAAGAAACTTCAGCGTTATCAGAGGAAGGTGTACGAGAACACTCAAGGAAAGATCTTCACCTACTGGAAGGAGTTTGAATCTGGGGAACGCACGGCTGAGTCACTGCTGCAGGGATGTGCATACGTCCAAGGCAATATATCGGTCATTAAGCATTGACATCCGAAATCCTATGAAGGAAGAATTATTTGGGGGGACAAGGCTTTCATACTTTAAACTTTTGACTTTGGAAAAAACCTGAATTGAGTGGGATTAAAACAATGCAAAACCTATTAATAAATATTGGCCCCATGCGCCAACAAAAGAGGGCGCGTTTTTACCACTTTTGAGAGCCCCTTGGATGGGATACAACTTTTTGTATCCTGAATGTGCACAAAACCAAGCCACAGCCTCTTCACGTGTGGGTGTCAGGCATCGTCGGCGCGCAAATATCTTCGAATATGTTCGAATTTAACTTGTGATGGTCTCCCAGACTAATCCCCGCCCCCAATAACTTTGGATCATTCGAAATACGCATCGGATGGATCGGGAACCATTTTTGGTCTCCTTCAACTCCTTTTTTCTGGCCGTTGAAGGGCTACTTGTGCACAAAGCCCATAGTCTACAGTGGGAGCCAGTTTGCCAGTGCATTAGTATGTAAAGGTTTATGATTCTGACATCAGACTTTAAAGTCTTCCTACTTGTCCTCATTTTTCCTAGATTTTTTCACATTGCTGCTATTTTTCCTATTTTTTTTTTTTAAATTCCTACTTTTTCCTATTTTATTTGTCATACAACTCTGCAAAATGAAATCCTGTTCAATATTTTTCGTAGCAATGTTACACACTTAAATCTCACAATGAAAGGCTAGGGTGCAGGAGTACTGCAACTGTACTTCCAAGAGCTTAGTTGAGGATGGAGCACAAGTGTTGTGAGTACAGAACATGCCAAATAAGGCTTATGATGCTGTGGACATTGGCGAGTATCAACGAAAACTACTCGTGAAAGCCTGCAAAAGTCCTACTTTTATCCTCCATCATACTACCTTGTCCTTTTTTATATTTTGATCATACTGTTCTACTTCTTCATCTGGGTCTGCTTGAAAGACTGTGACTTATTCTTCATTGAAATAAAGTTTAAAAGTTTTTTAAAAAGTTTGGTTTTAGGTTACAATACCTGTGACCTGAGAACCTAACTGTGAACATTTTTTTTTATGAAGTATCATTATAATTTACCTTATACTTCTTCAGTGGTAATTTTGTATAATGTTTGGGTTCTTTTTTGTACATTTACATTCTTTATGATAGTTTCATCGTCATTCTGTATATTATTTTTCATAAGTGACTATAAACGAGTAATATTTGGGCAATTGTTTGTTGCTCTTTTCTTGTGTAAATGCTTGTACATTATATAAATTATTGAGAAGGCTACTGGTTGTGGGAGTTGGTGGTTTTTTTTTTAATACTTCCTCTGCAAATTGTGAAACAAAAAGGAATATATTTCTGTTTTCTCTTTACTCATGTGTAAATATGTTATTGTGTTTCCCTGGATGTTTAGACATTCCCCAAGCAAAAAATACTCCATATCACTCAAACAGAACTATTAATATTTTGCAAGCTGAGTATTGGAAAAAAATTGATGCAACAATGGCCACATTTCATGAAGGTGCTTACAAGAACAAAAAATGCTTAGCGGATTACAGTGTTTCAGCACAAATCGGTTGGGAACCAGTGACAGGTGATTAATATCGCATGATATTTTAGCTGGTAACTTTTTATACTAAGCAGATATGTTTTAGGCTTAGCAATTCTCTGTGCAACAGCTAAAAAAAATCTTGCCCTGGTCGGTTCGCTGACCACAGCTTTATTTTCTTGCTGTAAAAATTAATTAACTCATGAAACAACTGCATAAGCAAAACTCATCCAGATCTCTTTGATGGTTTGTATTAAAACTACCTAGCTGTCAAAATATTGAACTTTTTTTAATACAGAAAACCACGCATATATCAGTGTTGTACAGGTGACTAATTTTGTAATCTAATTTTCATACAATGAATAAATCATTCAACTTAGAAAGCAAGTGCAAAAAAAAAAAATCTAGTGAGTTTTTTAAGCAATTTGTAAGAAAATTCCAAATACTTTTTTTAAAAAGCCTTTCAAAAAACAAAATTAAGAAAATTAAATTCAATTAACTCAATTTCAAATGCAAAAACATGACACTTTTCAACCTCTCAAAAACCCCACAGCGATCGTCCCATTAAATCATTAATTTAAAATACCAACTACATGTTCGAAAATAAACGTCTAGTTATTTTTATTATTTGGAACGTGTAGATGGTATTTCTAGGGGGCGCCCCGCAGTACAGCAGTACGGAAGTCAAGTCCTTAAATGATCAACATTACGTCGCACGGGCGGACCGACAAAGATGATGTGGAAATTACTGTTTTAAGCAAAGAAATGACGATTCCCAGGCATTTTTCGGAGTAAAACCACGGGGCCAAGAACGAGTGGTTCATGGTAAGTTTGACTGTGAATGTAAAATATCTTGATCATCTTGAATTGTTGTTGGTCGACAGCGAACCGTGACCATCCGTCGCCGGCCGGTGCAATGCGGCACTGCACGGCTGAATCGGAGCCAAAAATGACGGGGATGGAATTTCTGTTCGGTCGGTCGTGACAGTCGTAACCAAATAAGGTATTCTGCAAGCTTTATTGTTTTCACAATGAACGTGTTCTCTCACAGTGCAGTCTAGGCGGTGAGATTTTACTTCTGAGTTGTGTTTTCAAATTAAATGTATGTTTTGTCAACTGTTGAGCATGTAGGCCATGGGAGAGCTAGCTGAGCATAAAACTTGTTAAAGGGAATAAATACAACATTTGCAAACATCGAAAAATAAAACTACCAAGTTTTTACGAAATACTTTACTAGGATGTTGGTAAATGACAGTCTAAAGCATCCTGTAAAATTATGGCACCTGGTGTGAAGTCATTTTCAAGAAAATGGTATTTTTGTATACATTTCCAACAGTGGTCGGCCGACCACCGTTGGAAAAACCTAACTATTTTTCAACTTCTGCTCCAACTTAACACTTTTTTCAGTCCAAATTTTGTTTGCTATTGGTTACATGTTCATGAACGGGTGCAGGCCATCTAGAGTTGGTTCCCTTGCCTTACAATTTTCCAACATCTATAAATTGATCCATTTTATCTTTGGTGCCATAGTGGAGTCAAGGAACCAGACTACTTGAACATTTTTGTTTTTCTTGGTTTTTCCAGCATTTTCCAACACAAAACTTCAAACATGTCAGTGTAACAATATTTGATCTATTATACTAACCCCTCAAATGGTTCATTTCTGAAAATTACAGCAAAAGCCAATGATGTACATTCCCTTTAAATTATGTATACCGGCCTTACATAAAGTTACAACTGTTCTAGTCCGAGTAACTAGGACTCTACGGATTTTAACATTTTTTAACATTTGGACACGGTCGGGCAATCGCCTGACCATGTCCAATTGTTAAAAAAGCGACCCGTCCTAGTTACTTGGACTAGTTCACAATTTAGACTCGGAACCATGTTTGACCATTTTATCAACGATGCCAAACCATGATTTTTAAATCAACAGAATGTAAACTGCTTTGTGTTATTATTTGTATTAAATGGCAACAATTCAGGTTTCATATTTTCACTAACTTTCCAGGCACCCAACTTTCTAACCTGTAGGCTGTAGAAATCGCAAAGAGTATTGCATCCTGATGCCACTTTTTTCTCCATATATCATCTCAATGAAGGTCAGTCATTGCAAAAATGATGATAAGACATGAATCTGGGACTGAGAAACATTTCCAATTTTGTTAAGAAATACTTAGAAAATTTTCTTGACTCTCCATAGACTTTGTACACAACCGCTGAAGTGGCATCAGGTTGCAACATTCTTTCCTAGAAATCTTTTGGATACCATTTTTATGCTCGTTAATCTGCCTCTGTAATGTACATACATATTATACAAATATTGAGTGGCTCAGCATGGAATGGGAGGAATATTATCGCTCGGTAAAATCTGGACTTTGAACTGGAAAAGTCCAGATTTTACCGAGCGATAATATTCCTCTCATTTCACAATTTAATTAAAGCCACTCAATATTTGTTTTATATAACTGACATATCCTTGTCATTTGATATATTTGAACTCTTTTTTAATACAAAATTGGTGAAAAATGTATTTCTCTCTTCCAAACCACCCCTTCACGAAAATGTTTGAACCCGACGCTGTAGCGCTGGCTCTTTGGAACAATATGCACTACGCGCAACGCTGAACGCGCACGTACACCAGCATGCATTTGCACACAAATACCGCGTCATGGAACAAGACTGATCCTAACTGTTCAATAGTATTTCCCATTCCCCATGGGTAGATAGTACTTTTTGAGCCCCGGCGTGAATGGCAGTAATAACGAATGACGTGATGTGAGTTCCACCAATCAAATGACAAGGATCTGTATGTCAGTTATATAATCACTATTGATGGTTGACCTATACTTCAATTTGTTTACAGTAAAGAACATACATGTACCTTCAATTTTAATAAGTTTGAAAAGATATTTGACAATGTATAATATATTATATTTAATCTTTTATCCAATGACATATCCTACAAAATCTTTACTGTTCAAGAAGACAATGACACATTCTTTGTACTTTAACTCATCAAGGACATCAATTCCCCAGGGAAATAAATGGCTTAGTCATTATTTCCTGATTTTAGTAATGTTTTGTCATAGGGTCAGTGTAGCTATATCACAGCTTCATCACCGCCCGATCCAAAGTAAGAAAAGAAAAGTGTACAACATTTTAGAAAGTTCTGACCGAAGTGACAGTGCTCTGCCTTCCTCAATCCTACAAAGTCTTCTAAAACCTGGCGGATTGTTTTAAGGTTCTTGGAGTTTCGAGTAAATGACTCCCCTTTAACCGAATGGAAGTCACTTATGAGTTCCAATGCTTGTTTTGTTCCAGATACTCAAGTACAAAATTACCAGCAGCCAAGGACAGCCTCCAACAACTAAATGCAATGGATTCAGAGAAGCGATGGAGTGATCTTCCCGATCACATTGTCATCAACATCCTGAGTTACTTGCCGTTGACCGATCGGTGCTCTGCTTCCCTCACATGCAAAAACTGGTACGAGTGCTTCGACGATCCCACACTATGGCGCAGGTTCACTTTCCACTTCAAGAACGATCAGGACACGGGCCAGCTTCAGTGCCTGGCAAGGCACGGTCGCCAGCTGCGGGTAGTGAAGATCTACCTGAACCAGCAGGAACTGGTGAACAGACAGAACGCCTGCGAGGTGCTGACGGGACTTGCCCGCTGCAGTGATCGTCGGTTGGAAGAGCTCAGCGTCACCTTCACGACAGAGAACCCACTATTCTTCCAGGGGCTGGAGTTTCTGAGCAGTCTAGCGGAGCTCTTTGGTCCGCCGGACCCAGGGACAAAGATGGTGTCCACTCTAACCAAAGTGGACCTGAGCGGTCTGTCGGTCACATACCGGGACAATCTGCTGTACCTACTTGCCGACAACCATCCCAACCTCCAGGTGCTGAATCTCCAAAACACCTCCCTCATGTGCTTCATCAATCCAGAGTGCATGCACATTGTCGTGAAGAAGTGCCCTAAGATCAACTCTCTCAGCATGCACTACCGGTCGGCTTCGGAGGAGCTCTTTGCCGAGTTGAGCGACCAGACACGGACTCCTCTCAACTACCTGTCCCTGGCTTGCAACAGGGAGGAGAAGTACCACAAGGTGATTCCGGCTGATTCCTGGAAGAGCCTTGTCCGCAGACACAAGCATCTACGTGTCTGCATGAAATTTGACCACACCATTGAGCGGCACCGCATCCTGACAATCCTAGACCCTCAGATTCCACTGGTGGAGCTCCACATGAGGACAATGACGGAGCTTCACGATGAGGTCTCCATTGTGGCGCTCTACTACCACAAAACCTTGGAATACCTGGCCATCGTCACCAAAGGATCGGACGAACTGAAGCGTGTCTTACTGCACTTGGTGGAGCAGTCACCCAGACTTCACACACTGCACTGCTACTGCGCTCTGGACGAGGTGACCATTGACAGAATTCGAGCCCTACGCCCGCAACTCAAGAAGTACACGCTCAAGACGGCCGAGGAATTTGACTTGCTTGTCCCGACCCTGGTAGGCCACTCTGCTCGCAGTGCAGTCATGTGATCAGTCATGAGATCACGCTGTAAAACACGTATGTTCAGTTCATTTGAGAGTGATGTTTTTAGCCAAAAACTGAAGCTTTTACAGAAGAGAGTCTGTAGATATTTATGTTTCTGTGCAAGGAACTCGTGACAGAAATTGTGTTGGGATCGGCCGGGAGGTTAACCCAAACCCTATTGCCCAATAATTTTCAGATCCCTATTCATTAATGGTTGTAACTTGTATTCAAATAAACACGTACATGTACCTACATGTATCTGGATTGGGTTGGCTGCAAAAGCAAACCCTCAATCACTTGAAAGTTTTCGCAGTGACCTACTAATTACCATAGTTACAAACAAATTATGGTACCAAAATATATTAGACCAAAAAAAAAATCAGTCTCTGGTCAGCGTGCGCATCGATTTTGATCGTGCGTGTCAATGTTTTGGGGTTTTTTTCTTCAAAATTGTCCGCGGTAGCTCCAACAGTGCCCTTCATTGCTGCACCACCTCAAATATTCGTGGGCAGCTCGTACCCAGTGATAGATCCGGTACGAGGTTGATGTTGAATGAATGATAATAGCCCACGAGTACAAAGTTGCTGTCAGCTGATCAACAACAATGACGACTAGTCAACTACACACCTATCGACACGATGACATGCGATGTGAGCAATTGTGATTGTAAATTAAAGTGTGTCTAAATGCATGAAATATGCCACTTATTTCCGTATCCGTTGTTTGTGGAGTGAAAACTCTTAGACCGTTTGGTATTGTGTCATGTGACTGCTGTACAATCTAAGCATGAAAAAATAGCCACCCAAAAAAACGCATCACCGCATCAATTCTAGAACTTTGGTCTGACCAGAGACCGACTATGTTTCTTTTTGGCCTTATCAGTCAATTTTTTTAAACGTATTGTTCCACACTTAAATCTTCGATGAGTATTGATTTGTTTAATTCTCCCATCTGGATCTGTTCAAGATGGAATCTTATTGTGGTATCTGTGATCTTGCTTCTCCAGACAGATCTGAAGGAATGCGTGGAGAGTTTGTCCAGCAAGTGGTTGGCATCGGGAAGAGCAAGGTATAGGGCACCACCGCCGTGACACGTGTAATGAACAAGTACCAAGTTTCCAACCAAACCCTGGTGCATATACGGTGGAATCTCGATAAGTCCAACCTCAGGTGAATTGGCTCAAATTTTGAGTTAAGCAGAGTTTTGAGTTATCCAATGGATTTTCTATTCAACAACAATTGACAGGAATAAGTTTTTACTTTTGAGTTAGAAGGGTTTTTGAGTTAACAGGTTTTGACTTAGGCCAAAAAAAAGAATAGTTCTGCTTCCGGTTACCCGACCGACCCTATTTTTAGGCTGCGACCCTAAAAATGTTATCGGCAATTCCCAAAAAAAAAAAAAAAAAAAAAAAAATTGAATAAATACAAATAAAATCTGTCTTTTCTGTCTTCACAAAATACCTCTCAACAACCCTTTTGCATCCAAAAATGCTTGTACTTATTTGTTTTCTTACTTACATTCGCTTTTTTTTCAAAGAAACCTCCGTTATTACAAATTCGCTTCGCGATATAACTACTTCGCAATTCGATGTCACCCACGGTGACTATAATCACGTGGCGACGACTGGTTCCCGCCGCGCCGCGCAGGGGCCAATTTAGAAGACATAATGAAAATGCGGTAACCAGTCCATAGCTAGCTATGTGACCGATAACGCGCTACCAGTACAGTGCAGGCCACTGTCAACTGGTCGGATTCGACATCGTAAAAATGCCAAGAAAACACCGATGGAGAAAGAACATTTTTTGCAAGTTAATTTACAGAATTGATCTAGCTTGTCCGTGTATGTATTTTCTGTGTTCAGGAGTTCATTTTGAGATCGCACTACTCGTATTTGGAGTGATACATGCCGCGTGTTTCCCGATAATTGTTGACGGTAAAAACAGCTCTGACGGCCCATGGTGGGCCGCTCACCACACACGCACGCATTACACACCTCGGAGTTTTGGCCAGCTCCCCGCGTCTTGACTAGCGTTGTGCATATGGTGCGAACGGCCTGAATTTTCCATTATTTTTTGAAATTATCGAACGTAAATATATTGACAATAATTAAAGGTAGGTTTTACTCACTTTTTGTTGCCATTTCGTGTATAGCTTTCGTAGTACAATAGAAATAGTTCAGGCTAAAACTTCGCATATAATTGAATACCCCATTCAATCTGCATAAAAAAAATTGGCAAAAAAAAAAAAATTCCGACCGACCGACCCTATTTTTGAAAGGCATGTAATCGGAAGCAGAACTATTTTTTTTTTTTGGCCTTATCGAGATTTCACTGTAGTAGGCCCAAACACATTGGCTGTTGAGCGTTTTGCAAGAATTAGTTGGTTTGGTTGAACTATGCAATTAATAAGTTTAAAAAGCTAACATTCAGTTGTGTGAGGAAATAACACGAAATTTGCATATTTTTTATTTTTCTTGAAAGACCACAAGCCAAAGTGAAAATGGATTGTTCAAGAATTTAATAATTCTCCAAATTTAAAAGAAACTGCCAACTCACTTTATTTCAAAAATGAAATTAATTCATATGCGCTTTATTAATAGTTCATACATGTACTAAAAAAAAGGATTGCCACGGCGTGTACTTATTGTAATTTAAAGCTCATACTAATTTTGAAAAAAAACCTAAGACTAAATTAAACATGTGCCTATTGGTGACTTCTAGTTTTCTTCAGATAATGTACATCGATTGTTTTAATAGCAGAAAGGATTTTTTTAATGATCCAAAAGCTTAAATCCCATTTCATTCAATTTAAGCGAAGCAAACATCTTGCTGTACCAGCAGCTTACACCAAACATAGTTTGGCCTTTAATTTTGATCACGAAAGTAGTTTTTAAAAAATTATGTGAATTACATGTACATGTACCTTCTAAAAAGAAAGCTCTTAACAGTAATTTGCAATATTTTCATAATGTGTATTTATCTGTAACTACAGCAAGCATCATGAGTTTAACAAATTGAAAAGACTAGAAGGGTTATAGGAAAAGTATTTTTTATTCAGGTGTGTCTCCCTACAATGTTGGGAACAATTTAATATGACTTAGCAATATATAAACTTTAAAATATGCAACTACACCTGTGTATTTGATGAGTCAAAGGGTTCAATAAATAGCCCAGAAATAATTCTAAAATAGAATTAGATAGAGTACATCAAAGAATTTTAATAATACTGTTTGAATGCAGTTCATTTGAAATAATATAAATTAGAGGCAAATGCATAAATTCTATATTTTGTGAGTCACTTTTTAAGGTTTCATAAAACAATAAGGGCATGCATGTATGCATACAATTGTTGCAGTCAAAAAAATTGCTAAAGCATTATTAGAATCAATTTAATCCTGTTATACTGGTGTCATTTTATTTGTCAAGTTATTTACATGTACACAAAAATCATTCATTGCCTGAAACTGTGATTGATTGACATCAGAGAACGAGCATCTTATTAATATATTGATGAATTATAACTTATTCATTAAATGGAAAATATCACAAAAGTGAAATATTTATGTACAGATAAACGGGCAGTAAAATGAAACATGCAATGAAGATTGTATTTAATGGGAGCTAGCACATTATGACATATGTCACATCGAACGTTTAAGCAACAGTACACATGTAAATAGTACTTTCTAGCAACCCCCACATTCAGCTCATGTGCTCAGATGTGTAGTAATAATTATGTCTTCCAAAGATTTTCAGTGCGTGAAAGTTTCATATTTTTTTTATAATTTCATAGTTTGAAATGTGGCTTTAATTTGTAACTGCATGTGTATCAGTCACATCACATTATCTTCCATAAAGCCCGGTTCATACTCGGCGCGAAAGCGAACGCGAATTTGTGACGTCATGGCAAGTATTCGCGCTGCGAATTCGTAAAAGTTGAACACATTTCAACTCGGGCGAATTTCACAGCGAATGTTTCATGACGTCAAATTCGCTTCGCATTCGTTTTCGCATGAAGTATGAACCGGGCTTTAGTCATTTTTTTCTAGCTTGTAAATTTTCAGAATGTTCATCCCCATTTTACTCCCTTTCAGTGTTCAGACCAATCATGTGTTAAATTTAAATATAGGTCAGTTTTAAATATGCCCCCCCCCCCCCACCATGCCCACGCCCTCCCATTTTGCATCCTTTTGATTATTCTTTCACTGTATTACGCAGGGTAAATGTACGTATGTGTATACAATGTAGACCTTATGCGTAGCAGCCATCTTGGAGGGCTGTGCCTTGGATATGTATCAGTGAACATCTTGAGCATTCATTGTTACTGAATCAACAAAAGATGCTCTCTAAGATGGCCGCTACCCATGAGGCCTTTAGACTAATTTGGCGACAGCCATTTTCTGAGGTGTCACCAGGCTTTTTGCGAGTCGCGCTCGGCCTCGGCTCAGGTAGTACGAAAGCACTCCAGGCTCCTTTAATCAATATTCATAAATACCTAAGACAGTTTACGCATTCCTATTGGTAGAGAGCCCGTCACGTGGCCGGTCTTAAAAGGATGATAAAGACATGGCTAGCTGGTCTTAAACACTTTTCCAGTGTCGCATGAAATTTGGACTCCCATGAAATCCGGTGCCTTTTAACGTTTCATTGGTTGAACGTTCACATTCCTCACGTATGCATGCGCAATACTACCAGTGAATCAGTATTTCATGGTCCGAAATTCAGCCCAGCTGCGTTTTGCGTGACATCGCGCAGTACGCACACACAATGCGCACGCCAATGTCCTTATAAAGTTATAGGGTAACGAGTTGTGGAGGGGCATTCCATATTATAGTCAGAGGGGTGTTTCGTAAAACATGAGGTAAAAATGTTGAACAAAATGATTGGCAACGTCTAGTTTTTGGCTAGTTTTGATTTTTTGACCGAAAAGATTTGTTTTTTTGACCGAAAAGGTATTTAAGAATGGGAATAAATATGTGTTTGGTCGGTATTAAACACTCTGTTTAAGACCGGTTTGAGTCTGGATGGGTGATAATTACCCGAGGCGAAAATTATCACCCATCCAGACTCCCACCGGTCTTAAACAGAGTGTTTAATACGTACCTCCCCAACGCACATTTATTCCCTTAGTGTTACCATACTGTGCACGCACCTCATCTTTAAGAACGCGTGCGGCATGAGTGCGAAATGCGAATGCGGTGCAACCTCAAAAATGGCGTCTAATTTTGTTAGCCAAATTAGTCCATTGTAATTTAAGACAAGAAGTGGCGACTGCTCAAAAGTGCAACTGCAGCGTAGAGTAGTCTTGAGTAATCGTACATGTTGAGGGCATTTGTGTATGTGTGCAATTGATGCTCTCAGTGTTCAGGTTAACAATTACTTTTATTATTCATTCTTGATATTTTTTTTTTTGGCTATAATATATTCATCCCATTGTAATCATGGGGACATTTATCATTTTTTTCTAAATGATCAAAGTTTGATGAAAGGACGGAAAAGTGCGTGAAGTTAGACTTCACGATGAAAGTTGTCACGGTAATATGCCTGGCTTTTTAAAAACTGTTTCCAGGTTTGTGAACAGTCAATTAGGCCCAGTAAAAAAAATAAACTAGTTTCTCGTCTGACTTCTCGAAAAAATGTAGAAACTGGTTTATTTTTTTACTGGCCTTTATAAAGGTCAGTTACATTTACATGTATAGCAGCAACATTATGAAATTGTTTGAAGTGTGAATTTATTATGTTTATGTAGCCAAAATTATGATTTTACGATTTAACTGACCTTTATTCAAGTCATTTAGGTTTATTCATTTATGCTGTGTAAAAATTATTTTCTATTGAAATCAATAACAGTAAATTTATGTTTATTTTGTACTGTTGAGAGTAGACATTATTCCGATGTGATATATTTTGATTTATTTTAATGGGTTTCCAATTGTTTTGGGAGAAATGTATTAGCTTCTTTTGTGAACTAAACTAATAGTGCAATGTACATGTATATGTAGCTTTTAATTTATAGTTCTGTCCGACTAGTACCAACTATTCATAATTTTGTGGGTTTTTTTTTAGCAGAATGTAATAAATAGACATGCAAAGGCCTATGCAAATAAAGCATAAAGAAATTTACATCTTTTGGTTTTGGTTGTTTTGCCTTTGTTGTTTTTGGGGAGGGGCGTGGAGGCTCAAACTCCCTCCACAACTTCACATTTCACCAGCTCAAGAGATTATCTCTTTATTATTTCTTAAAAATTGCTG